CCGCTCCACCCCCGGCCTCCGCCGCACCAGGCCTCCGCGCGGCTCCTGGGCTCCGGGCGGTGGACCACCAATCCGACTCGGGCTGCCGCCTCTTGAGGTCGGGAGGCGGCACCCCAGAGTCTGGGGTGGCACCTGGGCTTGGGGGTTGGGGAACGCGCCGGGGATCGGATGTCCACGCGCCCCTGTTGGGGATCGAGGAACAGCCCCGGGGTCGGGGGGCGCGGAGAATTCGCCTGGGGTCGGGGATAGGACGACTGCGCCTGGGTTCGGGGGAGGCGTCCATCTGGACTAGGGCTGTCTCTGGGATCGGAGATGTCACCTGGGTTTGGGGGCCAGGCGCACCTGGGGTCTCGGTCTCGCGCCTGAAGTTGAGGGTCGCGTCTGTGGACGGGATGAGGGGCCACGCATGGGGTCTGGGGGATCGCACCTGAGGTCGGGGAAATGCTCCCGGGCTCGGAGTGGGGAAGCGGCCGTCTCAAATCATCTGGAATCGGAGTGACAGTTGTTCATGGGGTCGGGGATGAGGGGCCTGACCTGGGTGCGGGGACCCTGCCTGGGATCGACGAACTATGCCTGGGATCCGAGGAACGCGCCTGTGCTGGGGGCGGGGGGCGGTGGCCATCTGGACTCAGAGTAGAGCCGGGGACCGAGCCTGGGATCCGGGATGAGAGGCTGCGCCTGGGGTCCGGGACGGTCTGGGATCGGGGATGGCAGCTGGATTTGGGGCCCGGGGCGCGCCTGGGTTCCCGGTGTCGCGCCTAACGTTGGGGGGTCCCGTCTGTGGTAGGAATGGGGGCTGTGCATGGGGTCTGGGGGATCGGGCCTGAGGTCCGGGAAACGCACCCGGGCTCAGGATGGGGAGGGGCAGTCTGGGGCCATCAGGACTCGGGAGTGGGGGTCGCGCCTGGGGTCGCATCGCCCTGGGCCCCCGGGGTCCGGCCCCCGCCCACGAGTCCCAGGGCCGCCCGCCGGCGGCGGTGGCGGCGGAAGCGACCCGCAACGCTGTTTGTCTTTTTAGGTATCTAAAGGAGTTTAGGACAGAGCAGTGCTCCCTGTTTGTGCAGCACAAGTGCACCCAGCACAGGCCATTTACCTGTTTCCATTGGCATTTCCTAAATCAGCGTCGGCGCAGACCGCTCCGCAGGCGCGACGGCACCTTCAACTACAGCCCGGACGTGTACTGCTCCAAGTACGACGAGGCCAGCGGCGTGTGCCCCGACGGCGACGAGTGAGTGAGTGTGCGTGTGTGTGCGCGCGTGAGTGTGAGTGTGCGTGTGCGTGTGTGTGTGTGTGTGTGTGAGTGTGTGTGTGTGAGACTGAGTGTGCGTGCGTGCGTGCGTGCGTGTGTGTGTGTGTGTGTGTGTGTGTGTGTTTGGGGGACAGCGCCAGCTGCCCTGCCCCTCGACCTGGCCTTGCCTGGGGAGCAGACCCCTGGTTCTTTTCAGCACCTGGCACACATCTATTCCAAGGGATCCTATCTTTACTCTGAAGTTTTTCGGAGACCAGGACTGGTGATGGGGGGTGGCGCATTTGTCTATCTTTAGGCCAGTGTGGGAAGGACTATGTGTGTCTCAGGAATAACCCTCCAATGATTCAAACCGAATTTGCTTCTTTTCCACTTTTGATTGCCACAGGGTTTTTTAATTTCCTGCATCAGAACCAGCCCTAATGAGGCAAAGCTTTCAGGTTTAGGACCAGTTTTCTTTGTTTGTTTGTTTTGGTTTTTTGGGGTTTTTTTTAGTTGTTGGTTGCTTTTTTAACAAGAGAGATTTTTAGAACCTCTGCTCACACTATGCAAATATATCTGGAATATTTCCTTTCTTGCTGTTTACGTGTTTAATTTTAAAAAAATAATCTATAGGAAAGTTACTTCAGACTCATTTATGGAGCACTTTTAAAGTTTAAGAAATCAAGGTTTTGTTTGAGTTGACTTTTTTTTTTTTACAAGTTTCCTAGTGGTGTTATGAACAGATGTCTTTATTTTGAAATATGTAGAATGGCAAAACAGGGAAAGTACGGTCAGCTTGTATATTCATATAATGTACAGAGATCAATGGGAGGGGTGTGTGTGTGATTTTTTTCCTGTGGGCTGTTTGAGGTAAGGTGGAGGTTGTCCATTCCTGCCAGGAGTGGGGAGGTATCACTGTGCCTTCCAGCCCTTTTAAAAAATCAGCTTACTCAGCTTCTGTCTGGATGGGGTCTGATTTGGGGATGGTCTTGCCGTTCCATCCCTTGGTCCTCTGAAGGGAGGTGATTCTCCAGGTACTTTTCCTTTTGAAGACAGTTTTCACCTCACTGCACACAGAGACCTGTGTGAGTCTGTTTTCCCTTCATTTTCCAACATGCTTAGGTCAGGGAGTCAGCTTTTAATCTATGGTAACCTTACAAACTTTATACATTTACTGAAAGGTGTTTACTTGAACACCAGCTAGTTACATAGTGTCGTAGATAAGGCAGCTTAAAACCTGTTGAAAGAATGTAGCCAGCTCCACCTTTGTTAAGATTGTTATACTTCTGTGAAGTTTGAAAAGTACTCTATTTTATTGCTTCTTGAGCCCGGTGTTTTCTGGAATGGGTCTTCGGAAGAGAGATGTTTTTGTCTAGCTGAGGCCTCTCATCAGATCTCCCATTTCCCTTGGTCACATCAGTTGCCTTTCTGGACTTTGGGTCCCAAATTGCCCAGAGGGGTCCCCTGCTAGTTGACCCTGGTTTGGGGATTCAGTCACCCAGTATGTCTGACTCAGTCCCAGAGTCCAGTATGGGGGACTAAGTGTCAGTGTTCACTTGTGATGTTTTTCATGCATGAAAAGAAAGCATGTTTTAATATCTATCTCTGGTCCCAGGGTCTGAATGTGCTGGTGTTGATTCCACCCCATTGCTGGGCATGGGGGTGGTGTCCAGCTCTTAAGGTATAAAAAGCACTGCAATGAACACCTACCTGAGGGTGGTCATTTAAAACTGGGCTCAAATAGTAATTAAGGAATATGCAATTATTCATTGTAAAAATATTAGCGTGTGTTCTAAATGGCATGCAGAGTATCATTGGAAAACAGGATGAGTGGGACTAAGATGCTTGTTTGATGTTTTCTGTTTTGGATGCATCCTGTGTACATCTCTCCACAGTAAGAAAGTCACAGGTATCTTATTAAAGATTTTGTTCATAACTTATATTGAGCACATGAGATGACTTGCTTCGGCCCTTTAGGATGCGTTTGACAGCCAGCCATCTCCCTGGAGGATCTCTCCTTAGTAATAACCGCTCATTCCATGGGTGAGGGACTTTCCCATCACCCACAAATGGAATGGTCCAGAGTTTGTCCTGTTGTTTTACATATTCTGGTTCACGGCAGAGTTGCCATGGAATTCATAAATAGATACTATCTTTCAGAGCAAGGACGGGTTCTTCCTTTTATTTCAATTCACTGGTTCTTGAAATTTCTATTTTGAGCATATATACTACCAACTTATTATTTTATTTTATTTCCAACCTATTATTTTAAAACATGAATATGTATTAGAGAACAAAGACCCTCCTCAGCCAACCCTTTAGTCATCCAACGTTATTCTTGGCTCTGGCTGGGAACACCATGGGGCTGAGCCCAGGGGCAGGAGGGGATGGGGACCCTAGGAGAATTGACACACCGGCCATCACCCTCCTGCCACGGCCCCTCCCCTGCTATCACACCCCCACTACCTCTGTCATCTCCCCCTCTGTGGGCACCTCCGCTGTCACCCCTTTTCCTTGGCAGGCGGTTAGTCTCCTCTGCTGTCACACCCCTCCCGCTATGGGCACTCCTGCTGTCACCTCTGGGTGGCCTCCTGCTGTCATCCCCCATCCCACTGTCACCCCTTTTCCTTGGTGGACCGTCGCCCTCACCCCTCCTCCGTTACCCCTTCTTGGGTGGCCTCCTCCCCTCCGCTGTCACCCTTTCTCCTCGGTGGGCGGCACCCCTTTGGCTGCGGAGGGTCCCCTCTGCGCTGGAGTCCTGTGGTCCTTCGTTTCCCATTGCTCTTTGTTCTAGCGGACACGCCCCTTCCCCGGCGCGGGTCGCGATTGGCCGTCCGGGTCACGTGACCCCAGCCCCGCCCCCGTGGGAACTGGTCTCCCAGCTGCGCGGCAGGACTGCCAGGGTCCACTGTTCTGCGCACTCCCTAATCTGCCAGAGAGAAATGGCCTTGCAGGAAACCTATCCCGAGCCTGGGGCGGGCCCAGCTTTATAGGGTCGGTGTTACCACCTGGGCGGATCCATCTCAGGTATTTCTTAGGCTGGAGCTTCCAGGAAAGCGACTCGTGGGGAAGTTTCTAGGGGTCCAGCCCCTAGAAACTTCCGGAAAGCTGTCCTGAGAGGCATGGGGTATGGACGGCCCCAGGTCCCTCGCTGGTCCTGCTCCCCCACGCGGACTGTCCTGGTCTTCACACCTGGAACCCAGGTGTGGTTGGCACCTGCCACTACAGGATACTGCGTGTGTGCAGCTCTCAGCTCTGGCCAGGCGTTTACAGATTTCAGTTCTGACGTTTAAAAGACAAGACCCTCCCAAGGGTCTCAGCGTCCCCTCCAGGTGAACATTTTTAGTGGAAAACAATTCAAGCAGTCCCTAACTATATGTGTCCAAAGTATATGTCCGCTTTCCTCTGTTAACCCTCCTCCTGCCCTAGACAGGCTGTCCCTAACTCCCACAGTTACAGATTTTTTTGTTTTTAGTAAGAAATGCTCCCCCCCCCCATTATGTGGTGTAACTTTCTAGGTTGACTCTAGAGATCTGTCTTATTTTTTCTAGGGCTCCCTGCCATTTCTCCCCACAGGTCCGTTCTCACTGCACAGTGGGGTATCTGGGAGCCAGACCCTTCGAGTGGGCCGATGATGTGCGATTCGATGGGCTTTCCCTTGTGAATCTGGGTGTGCTTGTGGAACTTGTTGACTTAGAGAAGCCTTTTTTTTTTATTATTTTAAAGATTTTATTGGGGAATTGGGGAAGGGGAACAGCCCGTTGTTGTTTTTCAATCTTAGCTGTGGAGGGTGCAGCTAGCTCAGCTCCAAGTCCAGTTGCCATCCAGCCGCCCATGGGCAGCTCACGGCTGCTCAGCTCAAGGTGCTGTGTTCAATCTTAGTTGTGGGTTGGCATAGGCCACCATCCCATGGGGGAGTCAAAACCGGTAGCCTTGTTGTTAGGAGCACGTGCTTAGAGAAACCTTTCTGCATGTCGTAGGCTTAGTGCGCCTGCTCTGTCATACCGTGTCCCTCTCAGCCCAGTGGGTCTCCTGGACCGGCCCCCAGAGTGGTCATCAGCATCACCTGGGCACTTGCCTGCATGCGGATCTGAGGTTGTTGGCAGACTGTCTGGGGTTAGCAGGCCCTCCAGGTGATTCTGACGCACGTTCCAGTGTGGGTGCCATGGCCCAGCCCTGGCCCGGCTCACAGACAGATGTTATACTCAGTGGACCTGAGTTTGGTGGCTGCCTTGGTCTCATGCATAAACTGAGTTGGTGGTTCACTTCTGTTTCAAGTGAGAGGTACTGGAGGGAAGGAGACAATTTCAGTCTCTCCTGGAGACTCAGGGTGCCATCTTGAGCCCCTGGCATACCCTCCCTGTTCTTTCATCCTGGGTCAGCGGTTCCACAGCATTATGATAGAACTGTGTCCAGTATGTGACCCTGCACCATGCCATCAGTGGAGCCCTGTTTTAATTACACTGTTCGAGTCACCAATTGTTGTGGATGGGTTTGAGAACCACAGGTGTCACCCTGAATTCAGCAAATCACACTAGGTCACATCATAGGTGCTGCGGGGCTGGCAGTGGCCCTACCAGTCGGTGGCACGGTGGCCCCAGGGAGGGATTAGTGCATTCCCGCTGCAAGAAGAAATCTGCACGTGGTGTTGGGCTGACCCCTTGGGTCTCTTCAGCCTCTTCCCTGCCCCAGGCAGGGGCCTGGCTTTGCCACTGGGTTTTCTCAGCAGTTTTCCCTTCCACCCCTTAGATGGTCTTCAGGTGAAGCCATTTTTTTCTCACTAAATGTGCTCCAGTATTTTAAGGTCAGTTCATGTTTTATGTCGTATAATAAGCAGGACGTGACACCCCCCCCTCCCCCCAGTGAAATAGTAGTTCCCTTTTGGTGCTCAGTGCTGGGGAATGGGAGGCCTTGGCCTGGCTCTAGTTGCCATGGTGATGGTTCTATAGACCAAACAAAATGATGCTGAGAGCTATCCCGAGGGATCATTAGAGAACAAGTGAGAATTTAGATTAGGGAAATAAGGAGTCTTCTGCAGGTCGGCGATGCTAGGGGTGGTGTTTCCCTGCCCCCCCACAGCTGTATGGAGTGGGATCTATAGAAAAACCTGTCAGGCTGTTTCAGCTCTTGTGTGATGGTACCCCTCTCCCCCAGACTGTGGAATTCCTGTGCTAAACTTGTAGTAAATGCATAAGTCGTTGTGAAGACTGTAACTGTTTTTTGTAAAACCGTGGCTTTCCTATTAGCTTAAATTGTTTTACTTTATTTTTTTTTATTATGGTAAAACACATGTAACATAAAATTTGCTAGCTGAGCTTTTTTAAGTGTAGAGTTCAGTGGTATTAAGTCCATTCACATCGTTGTGCACCCATTACCACCATCCATCTCCAGAACTTTCCACCTTCCAACTGAAATTCTGTCCCCATTAAGCAGTAGTTCCCTCACATATTTTTTGATGTTGCTATAAGCAGATATATATGTATTCTTGCCCCCCCCCACCTTCCTATATAAACGCCCTTCACTTAGTGTTTTTCCCTGGCTAGATACCTCCTGGGACCCCCTCTCTAGTGGTCCTCCCATTCCCAGAGCTGCACTGAGTTCCCTTGTCGTTTATTCTAGAACTTTGGAACTTTGGTTGTTTCCAGCCTTTGGTGATGACAGATAGTCCTGCAGTGATAGTGTTGTGCAGACGTCTTTTTTTCTTTTTACCAGCCGTCTCTGGGGTAGGTCTCCAATAAGTGGGATCACTAGGTGACAGTAAATGTATCTGCTGTCTTCTCCTCCAGAGAGGTTGCAACACTTTGCCTTCCTGCCGGCAACAGTGTCTGCTTATATATAACAAAGTTTTCCATTGTAATCATTTTTAACTGTACGATTGTGCCCTGGAGCAGGGGCACTTTCTACATGCGCTTCTCTCATCACAAGCAAGATACTCGACCTCACCGAGGTCGAGATCCATTTGCATTTTCTGTTTTGTACATTCTTTGTTTTGTTTCTCTAGCCCATTGCTCTGTGAATGCCTCGTCTCTCTATTCCTTCAAATTCTTTATAATAGTGATATTTATCTGCATATTTATGTGAAAAGTAAGGGAGGGTCCTGGCACGAACGAGGATTGCCCATGACAGCCTCAGCTCCCTGGGTTCCAGAAATCGCTGGGCGAAGACTCAGGGAAGGGCTTGGAGGAGCTTGAAATGTAAAATAGAAGTTTGTTGAAGGGATTTTAGACAAGGGCGTGTTGATGCTTCATAGAGTAAATATCCTCATATTTGACCATTTCACTTACATCTCCCGAAAACGTTTCTTGGAACTCCTCGTAGGGAACACAAAGGAAAAACAGTTGTCTTGTATGTCGGCACGTAGAGGCTATACACATGCCTAATGCTTCCTTTTTCATATTTATATCTAGTGAGATATTGGGTTGTCAGAAAAGTCATGATGCATTTTTGCAACGAAAAACAGAAAAAATACGTCATGACTTTTCCGACGACCCAATAATAATAATTCTTTATGTTTTTTTCTTTTTGCAAAGTGAAGACCAAGTTGTCTTGTAACCTGCTTTCTCCATTTTCCACCTTTCCTTTTTCTCACGGATCTTTGGTGATTGTCATGACTGCTGGTATTCCACTGGAGGATTTCCTTATTCTATTGAACGAATTGCCTCTTGGAGCCATTTGCCTCTTGGAGCCATTTGCCTTATTTCTAGTTTCTGCCACATTCAAGAAAATGCTGCCATCCCTCCCTGCATGTTCATCGGGTGGGGGGGGCTCCTGGGTTCCCAGTTGTGTTCTGTCCTCTTGATCTGGGTGCGATTACTCAGGTGTGTCGGTTTGTGAAAATGCCACACGCTGCCCAGTGACCTTTTTTTTCTGTAGGTGTATTATATTTCAATACAAATATATAAAAGATCTCTCCCCCCCCCGCTTCTCTGTCTGCCTCCAATGGACTTTGTCTAACATTGTGATAAAATATATGTAACATGAAATTTACCATTTTAACTGTACAATTCAGCAGCATTAATTACATTCACAATGTTGTACAAACACGACACCTCTCTATTTCCAGGTTCTTTTCATCACCCCAAACAGAAATTCTGTCCCCATTAAAGAGTCACTCCCCATTCTCCCCTCTCCCAGCCCCTGGTACCTCTCCTCCACTTCTCTCACTCACCAGGATGTTTTCAAGACTTCATCCACATTGTGATGTGTTTTGGTGCTTCATTGCTTTTTATGGCGGAATAATATTCCACAGTCTGGATGAACCACATTTTGGAGTCCATTCATCAGCTGATGGACGTTTGGGTTGGTTCCAGCTTTAAGCTGTTGTGAATCATGCTGCCGTGATCATGGTGCGCAAACCTCTCTCGAGACCCTGCTTCCAGCAATTCTGGATGCACATTTGGACCCCGAGTGGGTTTCTAATCTGAATTTTGCTCAGTTGGCTCTGGGGGCCTGGGGACTCACCTGGCGCGGTGTCCCCTGTCTCCCCTTCCTGCCCTGCCCACCCCAGGTGCTCAGTTAGGTCTGGGGTGAGCTGTCTGAACTCTGAGCCTGTTTCCTCATCTTATAAGACAGGGGTTTAAGCTGGATGATCACTAGGTCGTTTTTTATTTTACTTTTTTTATCCTGTCAGGTGGCAAAGTGCCAACCATCTGTGCCCTGGGTGGGGAGCCATCCCCACAGGTGCTCCTAGCACCCAGGTCCACAGCCTACAGACAGCAAGGTGGGAGTGGGCCTTTCCCACACCTCACATGGCACACCTGGCCATTGCAAGAGGTAAGGGGCCTTGTCCTTGATTGGGACAAAGAGCAACAAGCCCCTGCCTTGCTTCTTGGGCCCCTCAAGGGGACATTGCCATCAGGGTCCTTGGTGTATCCCCTTCCCTCCTATGTCTCTTGTCTGCAGGGCCTGACCTTCAAGCAGGCTCAGTCCCCATGCTCCACATATACCAGAACCTTCTAAACCACCTCTGCAGCTGCCTCATCCCTGCAGCATGAGCCCCTGTCTCTGCTTGGGGAGCCGAGTGTGACTGTCCAGGGGAGCATGTGGCTCTGGGCCATGCGTGGCCTGTGTGATGCTGCCCCTTCTGTCCCTCCCCCCATCCACTTCTCTCCTGATCCATCTCTCACCAGTGCCCTCCTCCGGCTATGTCCAGGCCCCGTATTTGTCCCCAGGCTCCTTCCCTCCCTCCCTTGAGGGGTCCCTGAAAGTACCTGGATGGGGATGGGAGAGGCTGCCAGCCCTGTATTGGATAAAGCTTGTCGGGAAACATGAATGACACAGCTGTATCCTGTGGTGAACTTTGTTTTTTCACACTTTTTTCATTAAAAATTTGTAAAGGGTGATTTTCAGGGAAATTCAGTGTTATGCTTTTCTAATGTGTAACTGAGGGATTTGTGGGGGTCTGACTGCCTTGGGGGAGGATCCCAAATCAGGGACCAGTGCTCTGTCCAGCGATGTTAATCCTTCAGTCAGCGCATATGTTTGGGAAAACAGAGCCAGCTGGTGGCCTGGTGCTAATGAGAAGCAGAGCAGGTTGGCACTGAGGGTCATTGTCCCCAGGCGCTGAGGCCCAGATGGCGTGTGTCACCCCCTCTGCTTCCCAGGTGTCCGTACCTGCACCGGACGACCGGAGACACGGAGCGCAAGTACCACCTGCGCTACTATAAGACAGGCACGTGCATCCACGAGACGGACGCGCGGGGCCACTGCGTGAAGAACGGGCTGCACTGCGCCTTCGCACATGGCCCCCTGGACCTGCGGCCGCCTGTGTGCGACATCAGGTGAGTGGGGTGGCCTGCGCCAGGTGGGCTGGTGAACCCTCACCTCCGCAGCGTGTCAGACATCGCTAGTCTAAAGCAGCGTTTTCTGGGCCTTTATTAGATTTTATTAGATTTTTATTATAAATAAAATTTATTTAAAAGATTTTAATAAATTTAAAAAGATTTTTAGAATAAAATCTTTATTAGATTTTATTTTAATGAAATGAAGTTTCCTTCCTCCTGACTTGCATGCTGTGGGAGCTCAGTAGGGGTGAGAGAGATGAGCGAATCCTTGCTAAGCTCAATGCAGTTGGGATCTGGGTCAAGACTGTTGTCCCGGGACAGGGGAGCGCCCACAGGAAGCGGGACACCTGCCTGTTCTGAGCCCTCCAGGCAGCCAGCCTCTCCAGTGACATGTGGGCGGCTCTGTAAAGCGACAGAACCAAGTGGTTCTGTCACCTTCTGGAAGGCCTTGGACACCCCCAGAGCCATAACCAATGTGTCGTTTGCTTGTAGGGAGCTGCAGGCCCAGGAAGCCTTGCAGAACGGCCAGCTCGGCGGTGGGGGCGGCATCCCTGATCTGCAGCCCGGTGTCTTGGCCAGCCAGGCTATGATTGAGAAGATCCTGGGCGAGGACCCCAGATGGCAAGGTAGCTCTGTGACCACCACAGAGGGTGGGCAGGGGTAGCCCTCGTCACTGTTTGGAAAGTGACCCTCTCAATGTGGACCCCACTGCCCTCATTTATAGATCCGATGGGAAAACTGAGACATATCGAGTCAGGTACTTCACCCTCGTTCCTTGGGGGCTAAGTGGGGTCTGAGCCCAGGTGCCTGGCCCCCTGGCTGCTCTAAACCTTTACCTTTACACGGCGGTTTCTCTGGGGAGGAGGGATCGCACACTGTCACAGCTCCTTCCCAGACGTCCCCTGCCAGACCACTGATCCATAACAAAAGTCTATAGTTTTGTCTCCATCATCGTGCCTTTTCCAGAGTTGGAATCATCCAGGATGTAGCTTTTTCCGACTGGCTTCTTTTACGTAATATACATTCAAGGTTCCTCCATGTATTTTTGTGGCTTGAGAGCTCATTTCTCTTTATCACTGAATAACATCCCCTTGCCTGGATGAACTGCGGCTTATTTATCTGTTTGCTCACTGAAGGATATCTATGAGTCTCTGTGTCTCACGGCCATTGCCATGCAACTTATTTCTGTGCGTTTCATGTCATTTAGCGCAGGACCTTGTATCTTTTTTGAGGCACTCAATATTTGTGAACAAATGTTTTACAATTTTTATTTTCTTAAAATCGGCTTTCTTGTTTCCTAAACCCCTATTTGTTCTTTCCATGTCCCGCTATGTGGTTCACATCGCTTGTCATGTAAGAAATTATTTGAAGTTGGAATTGGCCTGGACGGACAACATGGTCATGTGATGTACCCTGCACCTAGTGTTGCCCGCTCTTGCCCTCACTGTGGGGTGGGACTGCCCCCCCACACTTCTGTCCTGCTGGTTCCTCAGCCCCTGATGTTCAGTGTGCCGAGCAGGTGTAGATAAAAACCATGGCGTATGTAATACGGTGTCAGTTATTCCCCAGCCCAGCAGCAGATGAGAGTTTTAGGAATCCTCTCATTGGTTACTGCTTTTAAATGACCTCTGGTGGCTTTTTGTCTGTATATTTTTGCTTTGAGCTAAAATTCAGGTACATGAAACTAATCATTTAAAAAAATAGAGTTTATTTTTTAGAGCAGTTTTAGGTTCCTCTTGAGTAGAAGATACAGAGAGCCCCCCCATATACCCTGTGCCAACCCCCATGTGCCCAACATCCCCACCACAGTATGACACTTGGGATAGTCATGAACCTACACGACACATCATTATGACCAAAGTGCATCATTTATGCTAGGGTTAAAGCACACATTTTAAAGTGTGCATTTCTGTGGTTTTTAGTATATTCACAGTGTTGTGTAGCCATCACCTTTATCTAGTTCTTAAACTCTCTCTAATTTCCCCAAAGAAGCCCCAGATCCATCAGCAGACACTCCCCATACTTCCCTCCTCCAGTCCCTGGTAACCCCTAGTCTACTTTCTCTGTGGATTTGCCTGTTCTCCACATTTCATATAAATGAAATCACACAATATGTGGTCTTTTGTGTCTGGCCTCTTTCACTAAGCATCATGTTTTTGAGGTTCGCCCACATTGTAGCCTGTGTCATTGCTTCATTCCTTTATGGCTGAATAATATTCCACTGTATGGGTGGGCCACGTTGTGTTTATCTGTTCATCCATGGATGGACACGTGGGTTTGGGTTTTGTCTCCTTTTGGATACGTTACTAGTGCTGCTGTTAACATGCATGTGCTGTGAGCATGCGTGTATATATTTCCATGTGGACCCATGTTTTTCAGACACCAACTTTGTGCTGGGCAGCTACAAGACCGAGCAGTGCCCAAAGCCGCCGCGCCTGTGTCGCCAGGGCTACGCGTGTCCCCACTACCACAACAGCAGGGACAGACGGCGGAACCCCAGGAGGTTCCAGTACAGGTGAGCCCTGGGACCATGGGCACCTGGGCCCCCACCTCCGTCTTCCTTCAGACACTGAGCTCTGGGTCCAGCTTTTTTGTTGAGCAAAGAGCCACTCTCTGCTCATCTGACGCTGCCTAGCATGCCCCAGGGGACCCCAATCTCAGGTAGAAAGAGTTGGTTTATTATAATCATTGTTCTTTCTCTGGGTTGTTTCAGAGTCAAAGAACCTAAATTAGTAGTCTCTAAGTTTTAGTTACCAGATACTTGCTTGAGAAGATAAGTGAATTTACTGCCTATTGATGGGATAGAAAATTGTAAAAACTAAAGGAAACTCTTATATACACCACTGGTGGTAATTTTTTTCTATAAACCCAAGCAGGTTATAATAACACTGCCAAGTACATGAAAAATAGAGGATTTGGGTTAGAATTTTCATATTTAGGGCCAGGAGCCTCAGATCCAATTCTGAAACAGCCTTGCACGAAGATGGGCTGCGGGCCGCGTCTCTTCTCCCGGCTGAAGGAGGCCTGGCTGCTTCTCCAAGATGTGTTTCCCATGGGCGTGGGTGGCCCTGACTCAGAGTCACTTTAATTTTTGTGGAAAATAAACATGGGGCCCCTGAGTAGTTTCTGGGTTCAGATGGCGTCTCCCCTGCTCTTGCTCATCCTAAGGAAAGAGGCTGCTCCTTCCAGGGGCTGTTTGCCTGCGGTCCCTCGCGATGTGAGTGCACGATCCTGTGAGGTGAGCCCAGCAATAGGTAGATAAACCAACACCCCAAGGCACGCGTGGAGGATGTCTCTTCTCATGACCTCCTGTGACTCCCCCTTGTCCCCCAGGTCCACTCCGTGCCCCAGTGTGAAGCATGGCGATGAGTGGGGCGAGCCCTCGAGGTGTGACAGTGGGGACAGCTGTCAGTACTGCCATTCCCGCACAGAGCAGCAGTTCCATCCCGAGGTACGAGCAGGGGCCAGGGGCTTCAGCCAGCTGGTCAGTGTCACTCACCCTGGGAGAGGGTGGGTCTGGGTGACTCCCCTTCTTTCTGTGTTCAGGGATCCCTAAGACCACCCTCATGTTCAGGGATTGGCTAGAAGGATTCACAGAATTTAGCAAAGCCATTACATTTCATTGAAATCAGCAAAGGGCAGGGTCCTGGAAAGACCAGGTGTGAGCTTCCAGCTGTCCCTTCCCAGTGAGGTGTGGACAGCAATCACTTCTCCCAGTGACCATGTGTAACAATACACATAGAGTGTTGCCAACCAGGGAAATCACCCAAGCCTTGGTGTCCAGGGTTTTTATTTGAGTCAGTTGTGGGGACATGGCTGACCTAGGTTGAGCTGATATACCACAGGGCCCAGGGCCCCCACCAAAAATCACATTGTCACTCTCGGGTGTGGCCCAAGGCCAGGTCAGCAGACACTTACCAGGCAGGACATTCCAGGGGCTCAGAGGTCACCTCCCAGGAGCCGGTCAAGGCCGGTCCTTTGGAATGTGCGGATTCTGGAACCAGAGAGAGCCTGCTGAGCCAACCAGAGCTCACTTGGATTTGTATGAAAAACTAACAAGCAAACAAGCCCCCTTCAGGGCCTGAGACAGCAGGAAAGCTGGGGACCAGGGAGGGTGGGGGGCCAGGGCTGCGCAAGTGGTGGGGAAATGTGCACCCACAGGGGTGTTGAACGGTGTGCTAACCCCTGTGAACTAAGGCAGTCTGGTCTGCTAAACTCAAGGGGCCTGGAGGGGCGAAACGGGCAGCAGGGGGTAGGAGAGGGGTACCCTGTGGCCTGTACGGCTGAGTCAGGGACAGAGTTGCTGCCCTGGCTTGGAGCATGCATGGGAGGGAGCAGAGCACGTGGCCTTCACCTCAATGCCTTCTCCCTGAAGTCCAGGTGTGTGTTCAGGCCCTACAACCACCAGCTCAAGATTCTATTTTGTCCTTTTCTAGTCACGTGATCGTTCGTTCATGTACTCGTTCATTCAATGTTTGAAACTCAGAAAATATCTTGCGCTTGTTCACACCAGAAGTGTTTGAGTAAAAAGTCTCACCTCACCTCTGGCTCTGCACCCCGAGGTCACGACACTCCCATTTGTTTCTGTGGCTCTCCCAGCACTTGTGATTCTTACCCATTTCCCAAACAGATGCTCTTTTTATCTGGGTCATATAGGTGCAGAATTGGGAGTTCAAACCCATGATACTAGTGAATTTTAACTTTATTTGTGTATTTCAGCTGTGTATTTCAGCTGTGACTTTCGATAGAGAAGAAAAAAAGTGAACAGTGGTCCCCTTGTGGCATTCACACCTGGTTTTATTCCAGGCCTGCCTGTGGTGTTTGCAGCCACATGGGTGTGTGAATGTCCTGTGTCACACACCAGGTTACCTCAGGGGTGTTCGCCATCTGTTTTATACACACAGCTCCGTGCATACCTACGTCGTTCATGCACGAGCAAGACAAAACTCAGAACAGTGAACATGCCCTTCCCTCAGAGGGCACTGAGCACCAGCACGGCCAACATGTGTGTGCAGAGGCTGCCCTGGGCGTGAAAGCAGGTGCCTGAGTGAGGAAACACAGGGCTATGCCAAGTGAGACACCCCGGGCTCTGGGAAGGGGCGGGCACCTCTTCCAAAGGCTTGTGATTACATTTTGTTTATTTTCTTTCTTTTTTTAAAATTTTTAAAGAAATTTTATTGGGGAATAGTGTGTTTTTCCAGAAGTTGTCTTCAATCTAGTTGTGGAGGGCGCAGCTCAGTAGCCCATGTGGGAATCGAACCGGCAACCTTGGTGTTACGAGCACTTTGCTCTAACCAACTGAGCTAACCGGACCGATGTCCCTGCATTTCATATCTTGAGAGTGTGTCCTAGTCCAAAATTCTGTGCTTTAAACTGCATATGACATGACATTTAGCTTCCTGGTATTTTTAGTGAATTCGAGACCCTATGAAATTGCTTTTGTTGGTGTGGTTGCTGAGGGGACAGTTGAAGCGCCAAAGGGACTGAGCAGCACTTGAGGCAGGGAGGGAAGGCAGAGTGATGAGGTGTCATTTGTGATCTGGGTAGGAGCACAGAGATCCTGCCCCAGCCAGGCCCATGAGGGGCGGCAGGGGTCTTGAAGCCTGTCTGTCCCTCCTGGGTCCCGGTGCGCTAGGGGCAGGGGTCGGGAGCAGACCCCAGTGTTTTTGACTGTGATAGTGAGAGTATCTTTGACCCAAGTGAAGCGGATCGGGTCTGGCCATGGAGTAGACGCACATGTTCATTTAACAGGCATTTCTTGAGCACCTGCTGTGTACCAGGCACTGAACCAGGCACATCTTTCAGAAAACACCAAGTGGAGAAGCTGACTTAGTGTGGTTTCAAGGACAGAGCTGCAGGCGCTCGTCCCCCAGGCTGACTAGCCCTGCACGGGGGAGGGAATTCAGTTGCCACGGGCATGCAGGGGAAGTCGGGGGGGAGCACATCCACATCCGAGTCTTCAGGAGACCCCTTTGTGACTGGGAGCTTAGCTCTCTGCATTGTGATGCAGCCGCTCTGGGCTTCCCAAGGAAACCCATTTCCAATACAGCCTCTCTATTTTATCTTAATTTCATTTTTGTTTCCTAGATCTACAAGTCTACAAAGTGCAATGACATGCGCCAAACTGGCTACTGCCCTCGGGGTCCTTTCTGTGCCTTCGCACATGTGGAAAGTGAGTACCCGCTGGCCAGCAGGCTCCGGTCCAGCTGCCATTGTAGACACATCAAGTTAGACGACTCGCAGGTGCCCATTAGACTTTCCATTCATCTGGAGCCGGCTCTGAGTACAGCAGAGTAGGCAGGAGCTCTGTGTCATGGCGGGGGAGCCTGGGGGCCCCCCCAACATACCTTTCAGGGTCCTTGGCTGGGGGGGACCTGCTGCAGGTTGGGCCTTAGGGGACCCAGAGGAGCCCTCCCTCCAGGCATCCTGGGATCCTGTTCTCAGCAACCGGGCGCTGGAACGGGTTAGTTTTGATGGTCAGACGGACCCATCATCAAATGTTCCCAAAAGCAGAAATGAACCTCGGTGACAGGAACACGCATACAGACGGCCTTCCCTCTGTGTTCCCGAGGGCATCCTCTTAAAAGTTTTTGAGTTTGGGTTCTGGTTTTGCGAGCGTAGCTGCCAATTCCGATTTTATTTTCTGTTTTTTATTTTAATGGGGAGGGTGGCTGTTCTTGTTGAAATTTTACATCGTTTTCTGATCTTCAAATCATTCGAGTCTCACGCCTAAGTCTTGAGCATCATGTTACCCTGATGGCTCACCGATGTCCCTGTTGTCAGGGAAGATGGTTGTCACGAGACCAGTGCATGCTCTTTCCCTAGTTTGTGGGGTCCTCTAATGGAAGACGCCATGCAGCCAGTGGCCGCTCAAAGCCTGCTGCCCCCTTTTCTTGGCAGAGAGCCTGGGAATGGGCAACGACTGGGGCTGCCGAGACCTCACCCCAACCAGCAGCTCCTCGGCCGGTAGCAGCCAGCCTGGAAACGTAAGTGGACAGCACCCACCGGGCACCCCACTCTGTCCTTCGGTTATGATCGAACTGTAAGGGGCAGATGGTTGTGATTTCTGGGTGATGCGGTTGAAGACAGTTTGCCTGTGGGTTGGCAGCTCCTTCTAGAAGACTGTAGAAGAGTCTTGGCTGAGTTCTGGCCTGGGCCTTGCTGTTTGCCAGACACTCACATATCAGCCGTGTGTGAAGGCACAGTCTTGGGCTCCTGTAAACAAGGGGCCCTGTGTCTGGGTGGGATCCTTGCATGGCTGGCAGCCAGGTGGGAGGTGGGTGTGGGCAGGTCCCTGACAGTGAGTGCACCCAGGGGTTTGAGTCGGGGAGGTCCTCGAGGCTTGCTGGGGCAGTGAGAGATTTGGGTGGGGGGTCATTTCTGGGTGCCAGTGGCCCTGATGGGTTAGGACTCTCATATTGTTAAGAGCAGAGTGAAACGTGGGGACAGGGTTCAGACCTTGTGTCCCACCCTCACTGGCGTGGTGGTGGCTCCTCACGCCAAGCATTTTGAGAGGGTAGGAATGACTCCCTTCCTCAGGGGGGCAAGGTGTCTCCACTGTGGGAGCGTTGTCATTTGTCATGTTGAAGTCACCGAGAAAGTGGCCGTGTGGCTGCAGAAGGGGCCGAGTTCCTTCAGTCGGGCAGAGGGCTGGGCTGCTCTGTGGGCGGGCGGGTCACCTTCCCCACTCCTGTCAGGCTGAAAGATCAGGGCCCTTATGTGTGTGTAGGGGGTGTCTTGGAGCCCCAACAACACTAGCGCTTAGGCAGGGCTGCCCCTGGATTTTCCACCTCACAGGCCCTCAGTTACACTGTGGGGAGACTCACATATGCAAAGTTAACTATTTAAAAGTGCACTCACAAGGGCCAGCTGAGTGACTCAGTTGGTTAAGAGCTCACTCAAGAGTGTGAGCTCTGAGCAACAGGGTCACCGGTTTGAGTCACTGCCCAAGCTGAGCTGCCAACAGGTGGCAGGATGGCTCAGCTGAAAAAAAAAAAAAAAGTAAAAAGAATAAAATAAAAGTGCATTCACAGTGTGCAGTCACCACACCTCTAGCTGGACTCCGCACGGGTCATTTTTCCATGAGACAGAACTCACATGGACCTGGGAGCCAGGAGTGGAAACTGAAGAAGAAGTTAAAATCCTCTAAGAAATCTCCATTAAAAAGATTCAAGCAAACTTTCAGCTTGAAACATCAAGACTTCTGGGCGACCAAGGCGTTGAAATTGGCTAGTCCTCTGGGTGACATTTTCGGCAAATAGTTGGGTGAATTTTAAGTGTGTAGGAAAACATGCAGGGAACCGAGGTGCCCGGAGTTAGCTCGGGCCGCCCTCCTGGGGTCTGGTCTAGAGGGCATTTGGTTTTGGCTGTGATCCAAAGGGAACAGATAGATTGGGACACTGGGAGAATGTCAGACCTCAGTGTGGACCTCGCACTCCCCAGTGAGCTGTTTTCATGGAGGGCAGCTTCCCTTTCTAATTTTTCTGAACCTCGATCACCTTTGACAGCAGAGCTAAGCATAAATGAAAGAGAACACAGTGCCCTGTCCGGGGCAAGCTGCCCTCACTGCCCTCCGTTCTGATTCCAGAATGTTCCACACACAGTTAGGTGACTGCTCCATGTCCCTGTTGGTGAGAGCACCTATGTGATGGGGGGTTGAGCCCTGAAGTGAAAGGCTTTGTCTAAGGTTTGTCCATGTTGTGGGTTCAGGGTGCAGGGAGTTCACACACCACCTTCACACAGACTAGCCTGGAGGTCAGAGATCAATGTGCAGCTGTAAGAAATGGAATCCAGGAAAACCAATGGAAGCGCTGGCCCCTTTGAATGCCTTGTCTATTTTGTGAGACCTCAGTACTTGTCATTTTCTACATTCTGAGTCAAGCTTAGGTCTGTATGTATATTTTTAAATCAACTGGGTTTTTCTTCCAACATCAGAGCTTTTTTTCTGTTGCAGGCAAAGCGGAGGGACTCGCCTGCCGAAGGCAGCCAGAAAGCCAGCGAGCACGACAGTAAGCAGGTACTGCGCACCTGGCGCGGGGTTTCACCTTTTCTTTGCAGCTGGCCAGCACGCCATGCTCTGACTCTCTGACTTGCTTGGCCATGCTCACTCTTGATTCACAAAGTGACCCAGTGCGTAAATTAATTACGTTTTTAATTACATTGTTCTTTTAAAAAAAAAAATTTTTTTTTTTTAAATTTGGGAACAGTGTGTTTTTCCAGGACCCATCGGCTCCAAGGCAAGTAGTAGTTGTTTCAATCTAGTTGTGGAGGGCGCAGCTCAGGGGCCCATGTGGGGATCGAACCGGCAACCTTGGTGTTATGAGTTGTACTCTAACCAACTGAGCCACCCGGCTGCCCCAGTTATATTGTTCTTAAAGTTGCCTGTTCCACATGTCCTTTGTTTTAATGTTTAAGAATGTGTTGTACAGGCAGACCTTGGAGATAGTGCGGGTTCGGTCCCAGATTGCTGCAGTAAAGCGAGTGTGGCAGGAAAGCGAGCTGCTATCTCTTTGCTGGTGGAGGGTCTTGCCTTCAGTTTGTAAAAAGCACACCATTTGTGAAGTGTAAGAAAACAAGGTCTGCCTGTATCTTGGAAACAAACAAAATCCAAACCTCTGAGAGTCTTCTCCTTAGGGAAATAAGACCCAGCCAGTCTGTGTCAGGGTTCTGGAGTCACCTTAACAAGGCACCACAGATGGGGGCTTAGACAACGGAAGTTGGTTCTCTCACAGTCTGGAGGCTGGAAGTCCAAGATCAAGAAGTCAGCAGGGTCTGTCCCAGGCGTCTGTCCTCAGCCTATAGATGCTGTCTTCTCCCTGCCTTGTCTCGTTGTCTTCCCTGTGTCTGCCTCCAAATTTCCCCTTTATATAAGGACACCAGTCATAGTGATTAGGACCAACCCTAATGACCTCGTCTTAACTCGATTCCCTTGGTAAAGGTCCCGTCTCCAAGTAACATCACACTCAGGTGTCCTGGGATCAGGACTCCGACATATGAGGTTCTGGGGACATAATGACAGCATCTGCGATGAGCCTGACCTGGTCTCTTTAGGTCACAGCTTATTGTCACATCTGAGATAATGGTCAGTATGTTTGATGAGGTTTTGTTGATTGTTTTCCCTTCCCTTAGTGAGGGGCTTCCTGCTGAGCCCCCTACTGTCCTGACACCCAGCTTTCTGAACACGCTTGTTCAAACCAAGTTGTTTGTTTTGAGAAACAGTGTTTTTTTTCTGGACATGGCTGCCTTAAAGACGCAAAACGCTTGTTTTTCTCCATCACTGTGAAAAGGCAGAAAATTATAAATGTTCGGAAGGCCTGTGGGTGCTGTGTGTGGCAGGCAGCGAATGCTCACCTCTCTGGCCCAGGACTTTGGCCAGGTGGGCAGCACCTCTTGTTTCCTTTTCTCCTGGTTTCCTGGACACCCCACCTGAGGGCACCTCCCAAATGGCCCGTCGGGAGCAAGCTGTTTAGTCACTTATGTTCTATTAGGAGCTTCTGAAGCACATGTTTGAAATCAGCCAGAAGGATAGTCAAAAGTGAAAAGCAACTTAGTAATTTTGTGATGTTTTTTTTCCTAAGAGATTAAAACCGACAAGATGTTATTAAGAATGTGAAACATGAAATGTTAGCAATAATGTAGCCAGCGGGCATGTTGCCTGTCTCAGGGCCATGGAATAAAGGCCTGGAAAGGAGAGGGGTGCAGACTCAGGGAGTTGCAGGGAGCAGGGCCCCAACCCGGCCCTGGACCCAGAAGCCCCAGGAGAGGGGCCCTGGGGACATCACGCTATCCCCCCACCACCTGGTACGTTCTCACGCTGTGGCGGCAGCCCCACTCCTCGGGCACTGTGAGTAAACTAGCCAAGTTCATCTACAAGCCAGCTCTCGCCTGTGCCCAGGGACCCCCTCCATCCTGTCCCAAAGCCGGGTTCCAGGGGCAGTTAGCGCCAGGTGGGGACAGGATTGGAGAGCCAGCTCTGAGGGTCCCTACCCAGGTTAGTGTTCCCAGCGTTTCGCCTGGGGTCCCTCCTCCAGTTTCCCACTCAGTTTGAAAGGTTAGAGGGTACACCAAGGGGACGCTGTGACTTTGAGGCCAGCCTGGTGGCTCTTGTGGGCTGACTGCTACCCCAGGGATCCCTTTCCTGTACGTGGGTGCCCAGCTGCTCTGGCTGGAGGATAATGCCAGCCCCTCCACCCCTGAGACCTCCCGACGCCTCTTCGTCTCAGCAGGTCTCTGTCCTAAGACCTCAGCAGCAGCTCTTATGTTGGGGGTCTTGGCCATTGGGTGGGAGTGGGTAGCGCTGGGCGCCTTGCCTTCCCGAGTTTTCTTTGATAAACTGAGGCTGTTTAGTTCCTCCTTAGTCTGGCCCACTCCCCAGTTTCCCTCTTCCCTCCCGGGTGGCCTCTTTCTCAGAAGCCTCCTGCTCACCAGGCGACACTGGGCAGAATGTGCAGAGCCAAGCAGCTTTCCTGCTGGTGGCCCCACCATCTCTCAGAGCTGAGACCCGCCTCGTGGCCCATGCAGCCTGCAGGGACCACAGAGATGCTGTCCCCTGTGCGCCCAGAGCCGAAGACTCACTTCCGTCCCACCTGAGAGGCCAGTGTAAGGCAGCCAGGTGTGTCACCTGATCAGCCCAGGAGCGCATGACCCTTGTGAGAGCAGCGTGGTTGGGCAGAGGCATCATCCCTGAGGCACAGAGCACCTTGTGGAACGTGCTTCCTGGCCAACTCAGAAGCTTTCAAAGTTGTCACTTGGATGAGCCCCCAAAGTCACTCCGGGGTCCCTGTGGCCTTGTTTTGGTGGAGGTTGCTCTTCTCCAGCCTGTTACACAAAACAGGCCGAAGAACATCTATATGACATTGGGGTTGGAGACGATTTCTCAAAACATGGGCAACAAAAAAGAAAATAGATAAGTTGTACCTCATCAAAATTAAAAACTTTTGGGCATCCAGTTAGCTCAGTTGGTTAGAGCGCGGTGCTCATAACACCAAGGTTGCCGGTTCAATTCCCCTCATGGGCCAGTGAGCTGCACCCTCACAACTATTGGGTTGTCGGAAAAGTCACGATGTATATTTCTATGTTTTTTGTTGCAAAAATGTGTCATGACTTTTCCAACAACCCAATAGATTGAAGACAACGTCTTGTCTTGGAGCTGATGGGTCCTGAAAAAAACACACTGTTCCCCAATAAAGTTTTAAAAAAAAATTAAAAACTTTTATGTATCAAAGAATACTGTCTTTGGGAGAAAACCTCTGCAAATCATGTCTGGTAAGGGGTTAATGTCCTCAATTTATAAAGAACTGCAACTCAGCATCAACAAAACAACCCACTTGAAAAATGGTCAAAGGACCTGAACAGACATATCTCCAAAGGAGACATATAAATAGCCCACAAGCACATGGATTCTCAACATCACTGGTCATCAGGGAAATGTAAATCAAACAACAGTGAGATACGATGTCCACACCCATTAGGATGGCTGCTATGAGAAAGAAAAACAAACAAACAAACAAAAATAACAAGCGTTGGTGAGGATGTGGAGAAATTGGAAGTTTTTTGCATTGGAAAACAGTATGGTGGTTCCTTGAAAAATTCAAACTAGAACTACCATACAATAAAGAAATCCCACCTCTCATTATATACCCCAAAGAATTGAAAGCAAGGTCTCAAAGAGATTTTTGTGCACGCCTCTTCACAGCAGCTATATTCAGAATGGCCAAAAGTCGAAGCAACCCAAATGCCCATTGACAGACAAATGGATAAGCAAAATGTGGTCCATCCATACAGTGGAATATTATTCAGCCTTAAAAAGGAAAGAAATTCTGATACATACCACAACATGGATGAACCCTGAAGACTGTATTAGCTCAGTGTGCCATAACAAAATACCATAGACTAGCCAGCTAAAATAACACATTAATTTTCTCACAGTTTTGGAGGCTGGAAGTCCAAGATCAGAGTGTAGGCAGGTTTGATTTCTCCAGGGCCTCTCTCCTTGGCTCGCAGATGGCTGGCGTCTTGCTGTGTGCTCACTTTCTTTTCTCTGTGTGCACATAACCCTGGTGTCTCTTCCTCTTTTTATTATTTTTTTTAGAAATTTTTATTTGGGGAACAGTGTGTTTTCTCAGGACCCATCGGCTCCAAGTCAAGTAGTTGTTTCAATGTAGTTGTGGAGGGCGCAGCTCCGTGGCCGATGCAGGGATCGAACCGGCAATCTTGGTGTTATGAGCCTGCGCTCTAACCACATGAGCTAACCGGCCGCCCCTCTTCCTCTTTTTAGAAGGACACCAGTCCTATCAGATGAGGACCCCACTCTTATCACCTCATTTAACCGTAATCACCTCCTTCAAGGCCCTGCCTTCAAATACAGTCATGGTGGGGGTTGGGGCTTCAACATTCAGATCTTGGAGTATTGGACACAAATGTTCAGTCCAAGGATGTTATGTTCAGTGAAATCAGCTGGACAGCGAGGACCGCAGATTGTGGGATTCCACTCATATGAGGTCCCTAGGAGAGTCAGATTGGCACAGTCGGAAAGTAGGATGGTGGTGCCAGGGGCTGAGGGAGGTGGAGATGGGAGTCAGTGTTTCATGGGCACAGAGTTTCAGTTTGAGAAGATGGAGAAAGTTCTGGAGATGATGGTGGGGTTGGTTGTACAACAATGTGAATGTACTTAATGCCATTGAACTGTTCACTTAAAAATGGCTAAAGTGGTCAATTTTATGTTATGCATATTTTACCATAATAAAAAGGGCAGACAAAGCTGGCGTTAGAGGGGTCATGGCCCCTCACCTTGCTGTGTGTCTGACTACCCAATTATAGGGAACCCAAGCTTGATCCATCTGTAACTACCGTGGCCTCAAGAAAAGGGCCGACCAGGATGTCGTCATCAATTTTCAGGACAAAGCGTCACCTGACATCTTTGAGGGGGCACGTCCTCCTGCAGTGTGACTTGGGTGGGTGGATGAAGTCACAGTAGATGCCTCAGACTGGTGGCTCCAGGCCCTGCTCAGTGTGCAGGGTTTAACGTGGGCGTCTGCAGTATTGTCGTGGGTTGCAGTAGTTCCTGGGGATGGCACACAGCCCAACTGAGGGAGAGAGGAATGGGAGGCCGGTGGTCACACCTTCACAGCTGGAGGGATAGGAAAGCCTGCTTGTGGGTGACCCCAGGGGTGTTGGGGGACACTGTTTTCCGGACTTCTGCAGTTTGAGTTCTTTTCAGTTTTAGCCTCAAACATACAGTGGTTATCAGTTCCAGGGTCTCTGTACTCCATCGTGGGGGCCTCTCTTGAGCAAAACCAGGATGGGGTTGGGAGCTCATGAACACGGAGAACGAGACCTCAGGGCCAAGAAACATTTGCCCGAAAACCTGTCCTTTGTCAGATTTCTGTCTGGCAAAATGCACAGCAACTGACACTCTTTAGTATGGAAAACTTCCCGTATGCTGACATACTAGTAACTCCCTTTATCGTTGGCCTTGTGTAGCCGCCCCAACCCCAGGTTAACTTCTGTGTTATTTGGAAGCAGAACCCAGACATCACATTATGTCATCTCAATATAGCTCTGATTCCTGATTTCCTAGTGACCTCAGAGCCTGCCGTGTAGTCGCAGCTGCTGTGCAGAGCCCTGAGGTCTGGCCTGCGGCTCTGTCCTGGGTTGTTTTCATTGTGTGTTTTTCTTGCGCACAGCCCCCTCCACATCACTGGCCCTTCATTCCAAGATTGTGCCAATTCTTTTTTAATCTGTTATCTATCAAACATAGTGTGACTTGCCCCCATTTTTTACTTTCCTTGAGTAATGAGATCTTAGGACCATTTCATCGATGTTCTCAGAAGGGGGCTGGCGCTCTACTTATGTCTGTTGGTGGATTTTCTACTGCTGTGTGCCAGCTTTTGAAAATCGCTTTTGGCAGCACAGTTCATTAGAAGAGACGCTTTTCTAGATGCGTGTGTTCCCATCCCTGGATAATCAGCAGCTTGCAATTCTGCCTTTCAGGGTCATTGTAAGTCACTAGACAAGTCCACTTTCTTTATCTGGTGCTTTGGGGCAGAAGTCCACCAACTCATCCATCTGTGACTCTGCGCTAAGGTCACACTGCTATTGTCTGTGCAGGTGCGTCTGCTCACCTTGTTTGTGTCTTTGCACAGAACCACCTGGCGGTGTTTGCAGTGGTTCATCCACTCGCTCCCAGCGTGAGCTCCAGTGTGGCGTCCAGCCTGGCGTCCAGTGCTGGCTCCGGCGGCTCCTCCCCCACTGCGCTGCCCGCACTCTCGGCCCGTGCCCACCCACTCGACCCCACCGGTGGTGCCCTGGAGTCCGTCCCAGGTAAGCCCAAGACGCTTCATCTCCCCGACTTCTCTTAGCACTTCCATTGTAGCATTTCAGTAATCGAGTTTTGACATGTTGAGGAATGCAAGCTTTTATGTCTGTTTTTGGTCATCTGTCACTTTGTGGTAATGGAAACGCCCGCTTCACCTGGGGCTGCAGAGTAGGTAAGGAGCCCTCTGGCAAGGGCAGCTGCATGGCCCAAGGGCGAGGCAGAAAATGGATGCTTTAGGGAAATGAAGACGGGAGGGGAGGCAGGCAGCGAGGGCACCCGAAGGTGAGGGACGGTGACAGGTGTGGGGAGGGAGTGGGGATGAGGCCTGAAGGCAGAGGGCATGGCTGCCAACTCTGGGGGGTCCTTAGCCTCTAGGAGTCAGTAAGTGTTTGTGGACTGATGATTCATGTGATCAGAGTTGGGCTGGGGGTGACCTGTCTGGTGGCCTGAATGGGGGCACAGGACCCAGGTGGAGGCTGTCGTGAAAGGCAAGAGCAGGATGAGCGCAGAGTCCTGGGAGTGAGGGGCTATGCGTGTCTCCTGGGCCCCCTCAGGCCACATCTCTGTCCTGGTCCAGGGAGACTTGTGCCAGTTTCAAGTTCTCTGTCCGGGGTTGGCTGGGAAGGTGTGACTCTTGGCAGGATGGGAGCTGCTCCAATGAGAGGCCCAGCCTGGTCAGCCCAAAATTTTATTGTTATGGATGGATAAGCACAAAAGTGTTTAAAATAAAGCTTACTTTCCCTAGTGTAAAATACAAGTTGAGCATAACAAAACTACAGTAATACCTTGGTTTGCAAGCATAATTCGATCTGGAAACAAACTATTTGTATTGCAAGACATCACTCGTTTACCACGTTAAAATGTATTAGAAATGTTTGCTCGTCTTGCAGAACACTCGCAAACCAAATTACTCACAAATCAAGGTTTTACTATATTTAGAAAAATGGAATTCATGCCCCCCAAACAGGTGAGGGCTCTGCTCACCTGAGTACAAAATAGAACAAGGTGCATCTTTGCTTTGAAAGTGGGCTCACTGGACATGTGATGACTTAAGGTGGGAGTTAGCATATTTCTAGTACTTTTTCCAGCCATTATCTAACACCTAAGGGGCACCCTTGGCCTGTTTTATAGTATGTCACTGACTGTCTTGCTGTGTGTTCTTTCATTGACTTAAATATTTCCTGAGCCAACTACTGGAAGGTGAAGTGGTGGATTTTTTTTTCAGGATCAGCATTGCATCTATTTATAGATAATGTATTTTTGTTGCTGTTGTTAAAATGAGCCTCTGCTGTTGGTATGACCCTCCCATTTTCTCTGACCACCCCCCTGAGTGTAAAGTTATATCCCAGTACGACTGCCCCTGTTATGGGAAGTAACAGAATCCTGGGAACTGCTGTCTGACCCCAGATGGGTCCTAGCTGGGCCGTCTGTCTACTGCTGAGGACCCCCAGGACCCTGAGTGCCCATCCTACCTGCTTTGGGGCTGACAGGTATAGACTGGATGGTTTTCTGCCATAGTACAGTTTCATTCAGATTATATTGTTGCTAATGCACTGAATCATAAGAGTCCATTTTTAAATCATTCATTCATTCATTCACTCACTCATTTAGAGTAAACTAAAATAAATGGCTGCTGTTTCCAGGCTATTCTGTATTTAATGGATTTCGTAGAATCATTTCAGGGCCGCTTGACAGATTTCATTTCCTTTGCCTTTCACTTAATATGAACAGGTTTCTGATTAAAATAGTGACCATTAAAATGGCAGCCTGTGGAGCTCATTGCCTGGAGTGGCCCCATAGCAAAGGGCGGCGGGAGCCTTCGTTCCCGGTGCGGCGGAGACCCGGCCAGTCTAAGGCTTACATCACCGGGAGCGGGCGCCAGCGCCTGCCTAAGGCTTGCGTAATCGGGGCGGGGCTTGTCCAAGGTTTGCGTCATCCGTGGGCGGGACCGGCGCAAAGTGGGCGGGGCGCGGGCGGTATTTGAATCCGCGGCGGTGGCGGTGGCGGTGGCGGTGGCGCGGGCTGGTGGCGCGGGGCGGCGGACGGTGAGTCAGCATCCTCAGCCCTGCGCCGTGAGGGTGCGGGTCGTCGTTACGCAAAACTGCGGAGCGGGCTGTGCGCCCCCCTTAGGTGTGGCGCGCCAGCCTCCCTGCCCAGGTGTGCCTCGCCTCCCCTCCAGGTGCTCCTCGTACTGGTCCGTGGTGTCCGCTCCCGGACCTGGTATGAAAGCCAGGGTTCGGTACCATATTTCCTCGGGGCTGCGGAACGAGGTGAATGCAGACGTGCCCTCCTGAGCCTGCTCTGCGGAGGCGCCTGCTGGCCCCAGGTGGGCGGGCGCCAGTCGCGGGGCTTCTTCATGGAGCCTGCATTACCTAACGGAGGTGGGTCTCTTGCTCCTGAGAGAACTGTTTCCAGTCTCGCCCTGTTACGAATCGCCGCCTGCACTGTGGGAAACTCAGACCCGTGGGTGAGCGAGGTGCTTCTCCGTCCTGTAGTTGGGGGAGGACTGCCTGGATCGGGTGGGTGCCGGCCTCGGGGTCCCCCGATCTGGCCTTCAATTCTGCACGATGTGCGTTGTCCCCGTGTGTCCCTGACCCCGGGGGACCGCGGCGCCTCTTGAATGTGCTGTGTCACGTCAGCAACGGGGTTTTGCCAGGGCCGTTACTCAGCAGCTTTCAGCTCATTTCTCATTAACATCTGGGCGGTTCCTGGTATTTGGTTAGGCGGGTTCTAGGTCAGATGGCACAGTTTACGCACCTGGGTTCCTGTAGGTTTTGAGTGTTAAATCCTTTTTAAAAGTCAGTTTTTCTTTTAAGAGAATGTCTTGGGAGACCTGGGTCTGATCTTGGGGAACAGCAAGGTGTGGTAGGAAAGAGAAGTACTCCTGGTGGGAAAGTGGGGCAGGACACTTCCTAAGAGCAGCTATCTCCTCCTTGTAAGCCAAACGCAGGCTGTCAGGTGAGGGTTGGACCCTCATGTGCCACCTTTGCGCCTGAGTGCTGAGTCATGGGGTGGGGTAGCATGGTGGGCTAAATTACTTCCAGGTGTGAAAGGCTGCAGTCCAGTTTGCTTCCCCCATCCATCCATTTACCCATTAATTTCATTGTGTCTTTGTTATTGAAAAAGTGCTTTTGGAAACCTCGCTTTGAAGCTGACCATCCCTAAACCTGACCCCAGAACTGCAGGTGCTGAAGGCTGAGTTCTTATTGTCAGGCCTGAATGGCCAGCACATCCAGGACAGTGGTTTGGAGCCCCAGGCTGGGCAGATGTGCCAGGCTCGCTCATGAAGGGTGGGTTTGGGCCTCCCATTTTTTTTGGCCACAGCTCAAGGAGCCTGGAGAGGTTGGGGCAGGGCGGATGTGCAGGGGAGAGGCAGGGTGCTTGCTCTCAGCAGATGAGTCTGCACATTGGCCAGCGCTGGTTCAGGTGCACCTGCACAGTCTAGGCTGACATGCAGGAATGAAGCAGGGGACAATTCCGAGAAGGGTTTTAAAGGTTGAGCAGGAGTTCTCCCAGGACTAGTGGGGCTCATGGAAGCTATGCCAGGCTGCAGCCCATAGCAGTGTCATGGCTTGAGGACAAAGGAGAAGCCGTTTCTGGGGTGGGAAGGCTGCTTGGGGCAGGGGCAGGGTGAGACAGGGTCTGGCCTGCACGCCAAGGTGTGCTTTCTTTTTGAGAGGCAGGACTCGTGACATGATGGGTTTGGCATTATAGAAAGGTCACTCCTAGGACAGTGCAGGTCGGGGTGAAGGGATAGCCTGCAGACATGGCTGGAGCTTGGGGCCCTTATTGATGTGGGTTCAGAGAGGAGGAGGAAGGAGCTAAGAGCTTCTGCTCAGTGAATGGGCCCAGGTGTAGCAGCTTGAGGGTGGCTCCTGTGCGTAGTTTGAGAAGGTGCTGATGCCTGCAGAGTGGCCTCTCCCTGGTAAGAGGAGGCAATGCAGCCATGCTGGGGAGTCCGGGGCATCTGGGGATGAGAGCTACAGAAGCCATGCGTGTCTGGGCAAAGGGGGGCTGCTGAGCTCCCAAGGCGGTGGGAAGTCCAAGAAGTGGCTCCAGGCAGAGGGGAGGAAGAGGGGCAGGGGGCAGGTGGCAGGCAGGGGCCAACTTTGACCAAAGGGGTATGGGGGAATGCCGGGGGGCCGGACGGCAAGGCCTGGGCAGCAGTTTGAAGAGTGAGATGGAAACTGGAGACAGCAAGGACAGGGTAGGCTGACAAGGGCTTGGACGAGGGGCTGCAGAGTCCAGGAGAGCAGGTGGGAGCAAGAGATTGGACCCTGCCTGCGAAATTCACAGCAGCAGGACACAGGTCTGTCGGTGGAGGGGTCCCAAGAGGTGTGGGCCCCTGGGTCTGTGGAAGGTGCCCATTCGAGCACCAGAGCACAGCCTGGAGGGGAGAGATCGGGTGAAGGCTGTCCCCAGGTGGTCCCCATTATTGTGGGTTGAATTATGTCCCCCCAAAAGATACTTCTCTGTCCTAGCCTCCTGCCTGCGACCTGGGAAACCGTCTTTGTTTGGAAACCATCTTTGCAGATGTAATCGAGGTAATGTGAGGTCATTAGCATGGGCTCTAATCCACGACGACTGGTGTCCTTATGAGAAGCAGAATTTGGACACAGACACGGGATAGACAGCCATGTGACGACGGAGGCAGAGATGGGATGACGTATTTACGGGCCAGGGAAAGCCAAGGGTTGCCAGCGATGCCTGAAGCTGGGAGAGCCTCTCGGGGCATCCAGAGGGAATAGGGTCCCACTCACCTTGATCTCAGCTTCTGGCTCCAGAGCTGGAAGAGTGGATTTGTGGTGTTTGAAGCTACCTGGCCTGTGGTGCTTGGTTTAACGGCCCCTGTGTTTCTAGATGTTAGGATGAAGCTGCTGGTGGAGCAGGAGGAACTTGAGTAGCACAGCCGACGGGCGGGGGGGGGAGGCGCACCCACAGAGGGAGCCCCTGGGAGGGAAGGGGGCCTTTGCAGGCCAGAGGTGGGCACTGCCCCCATGGGTCCCTACCCCAGGGTCTCCCTGAGGGTCTTTCTTGTCATGACTGGCGTCAGGCGTGGGTCAGGTATGTCAGGGAACCTGCCGAAGGAGCAGGTCCAGCTGCAGGTGCTGCCGGGCAGCGTCTCATTGCTGCCATTGTCACAGTTGAGAGTCCACTGTAAGGAATGTTCGTTGTCTTCCCAGGGACTGAAGAGCTTGGGGTGCTGCCAGCCTGGGGCCTGCTGTCTGCTCCCCGCACAGACATCCTTGCAGGGTTAGACACCTGCAGGGCCCGTTTCACAGATTCAGCACCTTCCCGCCTCACACTCCAGAGCAACAAGATGGAATCTGGGGGCTGGGGACCCCTGAGTGTTCATTGCCTTTCCAGATAAGACCTCCAAAGTCCTTAATACCTTCATGTCAATAGTTTCTTCTTGGGAGCGGCCAGGGCCCCAGTGCCTCCCCACTGCTCCTGGTGACAGGTGACAGGGTGGGGAGGACAGTGTTCTCCAGGTGACTTGGTAGCCTGAGCTTGGTGCTCCAGGGTTGGAAGCCCTCAGAGCACCCTCTCTGGCTGATGGAGTGTGGTCCTTACTCGGTGCTCCTGGCGGTGGTTCCCGAGCGGGGCCAGGTCAGGGTCACATCCTCAGGCAGCAGTGATGAAACAAGGAAACAGACGCAGGTCCCGGGCCTCACCCAGCAGTGCTGCTTCCTCGTGTCCTGGTCCCAGGGCCCCCCAACATCTGCCTTCCCCTGCGCATGGCAGGCCTCACTCCATGGAGGCCAGCACCGATGGCTTACAGATGTGCGAGCCTGAGTACCCAGCATCAGCAAGGAGCCCTCCCCATGGTCAGCTCACAGTGTCCCCACAGACTGAGCGGGGAAGGGACAGTGCAGACGGGGTTGGCAGCAGCACTAGGGGCTGGGCAGGGGCAGGAGACCCCAGAAGCCCAGCTTGCTGACCCAGAGCAGCAGGTCTGACCAGGGTCTCTGGTGTATCCCCTGGGCTGTGGAGAGATGTCTGTCATGCAGCCTAGGGACAGGGTGACTTTGTAGTCCCTCTTGAAACGGGACCTGTGCATCTGCACAGACATTCTGGGGACCGAGGGGGACACAGCTCGCAAGGGGGACAGGACTCAGCCACACAGGAGAGGCCCACCTGCTTCTGGGGGGGTGATGCTGGGGGAGGGGGAGGCGAGGGTGGCCTCAGGAAGTGGGGGGAGGGGAAGGGGTGCCGACCGGCAGAACCGCTGTGTGCTGTGCCTCGGTGCCACCAAGCTCACCTGACAGCTGGGGAGGCAGCACTGGCCCACAGGGCGTCCCAGGGGCCCCTGCAGCCCCTCCCTGGCCATTTCCCGAGGGCCCTTCGGCCACACCTTCCCTGAGCCGATCCTGTGGGGCCGTGGGAACTTACAAGGTGGGCTCTGGCTTTGGGGACTGGCTGGCTTGACCTCAGCCACCCCGAGAATGCTTCTTGCTCCGTGCCACGTGGGTGGCCCCGCCTGCAGGAGATGGTTTCTGAGGAAAGCTTTGGGAAGTGGGGGGTCAGCTCCAAGGTGCCCTGTGGTGGTCTGTTCCTCTTTAAAGTTCCTTTAACAGACGTGCCTGGGGCACAAGATGGAAATGAAGCCCCGCTCAGTGCTGGGGGGTGGGGGGTGGGAGAATAAGGTGTGGGTCCCCAGGTGTGGTCAGCCGTCCGCATGTCACCATTCAGCACGAGTATGACCTCACACCGTTGTCTGTGAGCTGCTTTCCTGTGGACAGCACTGGGAATTTTTTTTTTACTAGTCAAGTATGTTTCTTTGGCTAAACATCATCCAGTGATTAGATATGGAAACGTAAGAGAAGCAGGTGTCAGTTGGACGAGGCTGAGCTGCAGGGGCCACACGTGGGATGCCGGAGGCTCTGGTCCTGGGGAGGAGAGAGCGAGCCATCTTACTGTGGGAAATGGGCAGGGGGCGCCTTCTCAGCCTCCAGCTCTGAGGCCAGGGGTCCTTGCCTCCTCGGGGAGCTGGGTATTCTCTGCACGGCAGCTCTGCGTGTTTCCCAGCAATAACGCAGTGTCTTGTTGGACAGGCTCTGCTTTAGATCTCCATCTTAGTGATGTAAACTTCACCCCCCTGGATAAGGAGCTGGATGAGCAGGACGGCAGTGACCTGGGACCCACAGGTAAGAATGTTGGCACCTGGCACTCTTGTCAGGGCGGCCAGGGCAGCTGGGCTTTTCCTTTCAAAGATCCTTAAGTGGTTCGAGGGTGGGAGGGGTCCCATCTCCCCGCCACTCAGGCCCCTGCAGCCTGGGCAGGGTTAGCCCCCCACCTCCTCAGTTTACGTCCATCTGAGCAAAGCGGCCCCAGAAGAAACAGGGTGGGAGTCTGTGCGGGATAGGGGACGGGGACAGCTGGCCTTCATGGCCTGAGATGTTTCCACCTCTGCATTGCCATAAAGATAGGTATATTAACGTACACCAAATCATTTTCTTGGACGTAAAAGTTCATCTTTTTCTTCTGCTGTTAAAAGAAGTTAAACCATGTCTTGGGGGGCGGGACACTAAAAGTACTGGGACCACCATGCCAGTGGGGAGGTAGGTGAGCAGGCCTGGTGAGGGTCTGGCCTCTGCAGGACCCCCAAACTCCTTGCCCTGTGTATTCACCGCTCGTCTGAGTGGTGAGTTGTGGCCACATCTCAGCCAGGAGGCTAGCCCTGATTCTGCACCTTCACATGATGGCCTGGGCCCCCCAGCACCCCCCACACTGTGTGTCCTTTGCCCTGGCTGCCCCCTCAGTGCGGAGGCAGTGCTGTGGTGTTTCTGGGGGCAGAGGGCCACCGCCTTCTCTCTGTCTAACTCAGGCCCTCTGCTCCATGCAGGTCAGAGGTTGCCGGGGGGCTCGGCGCCCGTCACCATCCCGGGCTGCCTGGCCCGCTCCCCATCCCTGCACTCCTCGTCGTCCCTGTCCACCTCCCCACTCAGCTCGCTCTCCCAGTCCCTGTCGGGACCACTGGTCTCCTCGGCCATGACGCCCCCCCAGCAGCCGCCACCCCTCAAGTCGGAGCCCAGGGTGCTGGGCTCCTCGGCCTCGTCCTACAACTCCCTAGGTGAGCGGGGTTCGCGGGGAGGGGCCACCCTATAGTGACGGTTTACAGTTGGATAAACCAAGGCACAGGGAGCTGTTCCTACGCGGTTACATTCCCACTCAGGGCTCCCCCACGCTGCCCTGCGCGTTCCCCTCTGCACGGGCCTTGGGACCTATCTCAGCCCACCCCGCGTCCATGTCTCTGCTGGTTTGTCAGATGTACCCTGGGTCCTGGACGAGGGTTTGTGTGTCAACCTCTGCTGGGTCCATGTGCCCAGGACCTTGAGACATGGGCGTGACTGCACTGCGGCCTGAGCTACCTTACTCACGTGTGCAGTGGACTTGCTGAGGCTGCTGAGGTGTGACGTCCCCAGAGACCCGACACAGGAGCAGACAGATTTGCAGAAATAGGAAACAGTGCCGTTCCTTGTCTTACGTTATTCTTCCACTGAAAAATTTATTTATTTTATGTCATCTATTACACTTAAAAACAATTAATACTTTTAAATATCCATTTTAATTCCTAAACGATCATGCGCCACATAACTTTTTGGTCAACGATGGACCCCATTATAATAATGGTGGTCCTGGTAAGATTATAGTGGAGCTGAATTCCTGTAAGAAATGGAAAGATATGTGGTTCAAGAGGAATTTTTTTCTCCGATGGGAGCAGTATCTGTGGGGTTTGGCAATACAGTCCTTCTCACAGCACCTCAATTTTTTTTTTTTAAGATTTTTATTGGGGAATTGGGGGGATGGGAACAGCGCTGGGGAATTGGGGGAAGGGGAACAGACAAGTTGCTGTCGTTTTCTTCAGTCTAGTTGTGGAGGACGTCGCTTCACTGGCCCAAGTCGGCACCATCATTGCGCTCTTCCCAGACAAGGCAGATCAGTCGCCGGCTTCTGGACGGCCGCTCACTGCGGCTGCTAGCCGCTCACGCTGGCTGCTGGCTACACACGGTAGCCCATAGCAACCCACTGCCACAGGGGCTGTAGCCTACGCCGTCGCCAGCGACTCACGGCAGCCCAGCTCCAGGTTGAGCTGTTGTTCAGCATCTTAGCTGTGAAGGGCAGTGTCACTGGCCCTCATATGTGGGATCCGAACCGGGGCCCTCTGGCGTCCCAAGCCAGTTCTTAACCATCGCGCCACTCGGCCGGCCCAGCACCTCAATTTTGAGTGCACAGATGACACTCCAATCGGTTAGCACAGAGGAGCCTGTCCCCCCAGCGTTACATATTCAAGGGGCCCTACAGCCCTCCCAGATCTAGCCTGATGGTCTTCACAGTACAGTGCTGTGAATTCTTGGCTGAGGACCTAAGATCCTGCACAAGGACACAGGCCCACAGGAGCGACCTTGATAAGGATTAAGTGTCACAGCCACTGTAGTAAAGGCTTCCTGTGGTAGTGTGGGGCCAGCCTGTCCTTGTATTTGGAAATATTTTCAGGTTGTCATGATACAACGCACAGATAAGTTTTATTTCTTCCCTCAATTCAATGCCAGAGAGAGCCTTTTGTACCAGATGGGTCAATGAAACCAAAAACCAACTTCCAAAGTCAAAATATGGAATCCTCAGCTCCACACCCTCTCCATGTTAAACACATTTATTTATTTATTTATTCATTCATTCATTCATACATACATACATACATACATCCCACAAAGTTCCTTAGTCTGACTGCTGCTCCAACATGCAGTAGCCAAAACCACACTGCTGTGACAATCCCCTATGTGCCTTTTTGTCCCATCTCCCTTTCTTATTTCTATTGTCCCTCACGCACCCTTTCACTCCCTCCTGACAGTCACTGTTATCGTGATCTGTGTCTTAGCCAGTTTCTTCTCAATATTTCCAGTCAGTCCAGCCCACATCCCTGTTCACAGAGCAGCACTGTACAGCTTCCATGTTCTATTTCTGACCCTGTTAGAAGGAAGCAGGGAGGCTTTGGGATAGTACTTGCTAAGCCTGTAGCTGCTAGTCACATCCTAGACCTTCACTTTCACTCACCCCTCAAGTCACTGTCGCCCCGAGCAGCCTCCAGTCCTGCAGGCTCCATTCATGGCAGGTGCCCTCTACAGGTGGGCCATTTTTTAAGTCTTTTATACAGTGTTTACACTGCACCTTTTCTGTGTTTAGATAGTTACACACTTACCACTGTGTTACAACTGCCTGCAGTAACATGCTGCCCGGGTTTGCAAGCCTAAGAGCAGTAGGCTGCACCATCGAGCCTGGGTGTGGATTAGGGTGCACCCATAGAGGTTTGTGTAAGTGCACTCTGTTTTGCACAATGATGCAATTGCCTAATGGTGATTTTCTCAAAGTGTCCCCCATTATGTGACACAAGACTCTGTGTGTCAACAGGTGCCACCCAAGTAAACAAAAGCTTTTTGGGGGCCTCAGGATTCCACAGGTGTCAAGGGTTCCTGGGACCAGAGTTTGAGAACTGCTGCATCACACGATGCAGTCACAGAAACTTTGCATGTATTTCCTTTTATGTTTAAATCCCACAGGTGGCAGGAAGGGGGCCTGGTCAGAAGATAAGGGGTAGCGGCCTTGTTAGCAGAGCCCCAGAGGTCGCAGAGCCTGCCTAGGAGATGTCTGTGATGTTTCAGCATGGCGGGGGCTGACCTCTCCTGTCTCCTTCTCCCTTAGGCTTGAATGGCGTCCCCGGGAGCATCTGGGACTTTGTTTCTGGCAGCTTCTCTCCCAGCCCATCCCCCATTCTGAATGCTGGCCCTGCGTCCTCTGCAAGCGCAAGTCCAAATGGTGCTGAACTGGCTCGGGTCAGGCGGCAGCTGGACGAGGCCAAGAGGAAGATCAGGCAGTGGGAAGAGTCCTGGCAGCAGGTGAAGCAGGTGAGCACTGGGGAGGGGCCGTGACGCAGGCGACACTGGTGTTCCCCGTGTGCATGCAGGGTGCCCCCGTGCCCACGCCCGCCACTGCAGCCCCCTGCATTTCAGGCTTGCGACGCGTGGCAGCAGGAGGCCAAGGAGGCGAAGGAACGTGCGCTGGCAGCCGACAGCGCCCGGCAGCTGGCGCTGCAGAAGAAGGAGGAGGTGGAAGCCCAGTTTAGACAGCTGCAGGAGGAGCTGGAGGGCCGGGGCGTGTCCGCGCTCCCCGGGCTGCAGGGCTGCCGTGACATTGGCGCCATCCCGCTGCCCAAACTGCATTCGCTGCAGAGTCAGTTGCGCCTGGATTTGGAGGCGGTAGACGGGGTGAGTCCTGGTTTGGGTTTCCAAGGTACCAGGTGTCTGTCCCCGGCAGTGTATGGGGAGCGGGGAGATGATGATTGGGACCTGGCCTAGCACTGCCCCGACATCTCAGGTGGCGGCCATGCTCTACTCCAGGGAATGTGTACCACCTCCCCTGCCAGGCTGGCCCTGCCCTTCCTTTCCAGAAGCTTCCACATTTGCCCTCTACTACTGCCCGCTGTGCCCTCATGGACAGTGTGGATGCCCCTCTCACTTCACAGAGGTGGAACTATGGTGTATGTCTGGGGCATGTCATTGAAGTCACCCTCCAGGGTCACTGGCCACCTCCTGGCTTGATTTCATTTTCTCTGGTGTAGCAAAAAAACCACTGCCCTCAGATCAGCTAGAAACTCCTTCCACACCAGAGCATTTTGTTAGAGCATCCGGAAGGTTCCATGGCCCTGCCTCTCATCACACTCTCCCCCTTCAATGACTGTGGCCAAGGTCTGGCTGCAACCCACACACCTGATGGCTTCACCCGATGGGAGGTGCCATCTCCCAGGCTGTGGCTTTTCCCTCAGCCAGAGAGCTGGGTCTTGTGTCAGGGTCCTGCTGAGCCCAAATCCTGGCACCCACTGGACCAGCTGCAGGTCCTGGCCTCCATCCTGGCCCGGCCCTTCCCACGCCAGTGTGGCATCCTGGCCTCTCCCTGGGAGCCAGTCCTCTACCCAAGGCTCTTGAGAAGCAGCAGCTCCCACCCCATTTTCGTGTTCCCAGGGTGGCCCCTGCATGTTCTCGTGTCACCTCTGGGCAGGCTGGGGGCTGGTGGTGGGAAGGGGCGTCCTGTGACCCCGCCAACTCATCCTGCCTGCAGGTGATCTTCCAGCTCCGAGCAAAGCAGTGTGTGGTGTGCGGGGAGCGGGCCCGCGGCGCCGTCCTGCGGCCCTGCCAACACCGTGTGCTCTGTGAGCCCTGCGCAGCAGGCGCGCCCGAGTGCCCCTACTGCGAGGGCCAGCCCCTCCAGTGGTGACGGCGGCCACACTTCCTGGTGCCACCAACATCGGGACCCGGCCCTGAGCTGCACCCTCGGTTTCATGGTATTCTTCTCGCAGACCTTAAAGGCAAACCCACACACCCACCGCGTGGGGTCTGGGCGGGCACGGTAATTACAAGGGTTTGCGGTCCTGACACTACTGTGACCACATTCTGGGAGTTCGGGTCCCGGCCAAGCACTTTGTTAACCGAAGAATTTAGATGGACGGTCTAAGTTGCTATAAGCTGCTTTCTAGGTTCATGTTTTTTTAATATGCGATAATATGAAGCTTTATATGTGTACTGTGAACTTAAAATATTTCCTATCAGTTTATTGTTAATTCATAGTATGGTAAATATATTAGATTTCATATTCTGAAATTAGTACTTATGAAATGAGCATTTATCTAGTAGTGAAAAATGCCTAGGATTTTTACAGGTTTCAAATTAAGTGCAAACAAATAGTATTTATAGCAGAGTGATTATTGAAAGACATACATTTAGATGTTTCTAATTTTAGAAAAGGAACTCTCCCTAAACTCGTGCATGTGCACACTAATTGGAGTTTTATAGCCTGACGCCGTGAGGTGAGAGAACTTGATCACACATCCAGGACCCGTGAACACTTTTTCTAAGTGCCTGTGCCTTGCAAAAGAAGTGAAGAAAACGGCCCATTCGGTTTCTCCCTTGAAACTTTGTAAGACAATTGATACTAGTGAAAGGTGCAGCTGAGGGGGATGTTAAATTTTAGAGCCGTGTTCTGTGCGTCTGCCAGGCAGCGGTGCCCCCTACCTTCCTACAGCTGGCTGCCGGGTGTCCCAGCTGGCCCGTGGTCCCTCCCTGCTCCTGGGACCACCAGGACTCCTGCCCACGTGGGACAGGCTCACCAAGCTTTGATGTGTTCGACTTTAGGGCGACATGTCTAGCCAGCCCTGTCGCCTGATCTGTGCATCCATGTATTATGTCATCTGTGTGACCACAGGTCAAGGACATGAACACTGTGCCTGGACGAGGGGCCGCCCCGAGGACCTGGCTCTGCTGTGGGTCCCTCGGGCCTCAAGTGGCAACCTGGCTTTAAGGCCGGGGCACAGATACTCCTGAGAATGGGTCTGATTTTAATGATGACAAGAAAACTACTCTGGTTTGCAGTGGGTCGTTTTTCCTAGAAATCTGGGAAGAAGTAAAATATGTCTGTAGTTTACCCAACCTTGGCTCTCGGCAAAGCAGATCTCAATTGCCGTGAGAAAAATCTTTCCAGAGCCTGCCGCTGGGGGTGGGAGCAGATACCGGCCCCTCTGGCTGGACGTGAACACACGTATTTCTACTCGCCTCCGGCTTTGCCAAAGACTTTTAATAGCATTTTTTAAAGTGCAAAGTGACTAGGTAAAAATTTTTATCAGTGACCAAATTAGAATGTATTTACTATAGTAAGAAGTTTAAACCGTTTTTTAATGTAAGACAAACTGTTAGAAAAGTTGTCATTTTAAAGGTGGATCCATGACATTCCGCAGCTAGCCCGCTACTTAAAGGTAACTATTGACTTGGTTTTAGTGAATCTACATTGTTTTTAATTATAGTGATTTATTAGCTCTTAGAAATTACGTATATTTTGTGCTACTGTTATCACTGTTTAAAATTATTTTTATTAATATTTATGTACTTGTTTTCCATTTCAGGCCTCTGGCCTTTTTTGGGATAACAGGACAGTGTTTATGACTGATATCTAGCCTAGACATTTTCAAATTATAAACAATTAAGAACAATTAAGCTTTAGGTCTATTTATAAGCTACTCTGGTCAGTTCTTTCTGTGGAGTTTGGGGGACTGGAGGTGCAGTGCTCACAGCTGGGGCAGGGGGCGTAGCCCCTGAGCACTCACCCTTCTCATCAGGTCAAGGACTGGCTCTGAGGACAGGTGTGCGGTGGGAAGACCAAAGAACCACCCAGAGTAGAACTCCCGAGGTGCCCGGGCACTTTAGGGCTGCTCCGTAAGGTCCTCCCCACCCCTGCAGTGGCCCTGGTCCTCCGAGGGAGCCGCCCTTTGCAGGCCTCACAAGCTGAGCTGGGGACAGGCTCGGCCTCTCAGGGTCACCGTCCCATCTGTGGGTGAGGAGGGGGGAGTGCTGGGTGCAGCAGCAGAAGCCGGGTGGTGTTCAGCGGCGGCTCTCAGCTCTACTGTTCAATATTAGCGGTAATATATCATCACACCATTCATGTAACTGGTCAGCAGACCTCAACTCAGTGTGGACGCTTTATGTGGATTAATTTATGGAAGCTCCCAATCTGTATGTTTGTTTTGAGTATTTAGATGAAAATGTTATTGGAATGGAATTTTCTTAACCCAGAAGGTAGTATTTATAATGCATAATCATTTACTTGTAGTGAACTGTTTAAAGTTGTTAACACTTGTTTAAATTTTTTTACACTATAGCATTTATGCAATGGTTTACAGAATTCATGGAATTATTTTTATCAGTATGGGAATTAATTAAAACTTTGAATCTTTATTTGCCTGCATCTATGAGCCCCGCCCTGAGAGCTGCTGACGGGATGGCACAGAGAATGTGTGTCCTCCACCTGTACTGCTTTTCCCGGGACTGCGCGTTCTGCACCGGGGTCCCGGTCTGCCTCCTTCCTGCTGTAGGATGCCAGTCCCAGGTCACAAGGTGTTCCCACGCAACCCTGGGTCACCTTGTAGCTGCTCTGCTGTCCTGGCTATGGGTGTCTTGGAGCCCAAGTGTTCAGAGGTGGAGGTTTCTGCCAAAATACCAGGCGGCGACAGGTCAGGATATGGCTCCCAGGCTGCAGGTCCCCAGGTGGGCTCGCCCCCTCCCTTTGCGTGACTTACCCGTAGGTTTCGTGTAGGAGATGCCATGCTGGGTCAGCACACTTTTAAGTCTTTTAATCTCCTTTGACAGTTCTTTGTGTGCCTGGAACAGAACAGTTAGAAGGGAAAGTCAGGCCCCTTGGCAGGAGGGTGTCTGCAGACAGCCCAGCCCCAATCCCCAATTTGTACCTTGTTGCAGCTCTCCAGGGACTCAAACACCAGGCCCTGGACTCTGCCTTCCTGCTGTGCAGACTCACTTTCTTCTGGGGTCTTTAAATAGCCAGCATCCTCAAAAAGTGCCCTGAGCAACTTCTCGTAGCCCTGCAGGGCGAGGAGGAAGAGGGAACTCCCAGCTCCTGGCTGTGCTACACCCTGCCAGGAGGGTGCCTGCCCCAGCACCTCACCTGGGACGTGATCAGCTCATCAGCCAGGTCCTGCTCCACCTGGTCCCACCTCCGCTGTAGGGCCGTGGGCAAGGCAGGGTACACTGAGATTCAACAGAAACCAGCCTTAGCCGAGCCCCTCCACCTCCCCACCCCCACCAGCCCCAGCATCCTACCTAACAAGGAGTGGGGGTGGCAGACAAGGGGCGTCTCGAAAGTCAGTGCATAGACACAGGTGCTTGGCTCAGACACATGAGCCAATCGGTTGCTTTTTCCACAGGTAAGCTCCACCTGGGAGGGAAGCCTTGGTTGGTTGGTGGGTTGGTTGGTGGGGGGGAAGCCAGGGGCCTGCCCCTCCCACACAGCCCACCTTGCTCTGCCGGCTACGGGAGCGGCAGGAGTCGCCGTCCCTCATCCACATGCCCCTGAAGGTGTTGTTGGTGATTTCCCACTCATGCCAGATGCTGGAGAGGAGCAGAGCGTGAGGCTGGGTTGGGGACGCCACCCCCAGGAGCCCACAGCCACCTCCCCATCCCCAGCTCACCCGAGGATCCCACTGTAGGCGTTCCAGCGGAAGGTCTGCTCATGCTGGGTCACATTGTGGAATGGGCAGAACTCGTACTTATACCTGGGGGTACAGCCACCGTCAGGGGTGTCCCAGCCCCCTCCCCTGCCACCCCTCTCCTCACTCACGTGGACTCCACCAGGCTGAAGCACTTGCCAGAAAGTCTGAAGAGATGCGCGGGCCCTGGAAGGGGAGAAGGCGACACTGAGTCCAGTGCAAGGGCAGATGTGTGGAAACGCAGGCCAGGCAGAAAAAACTGACAACCCACAAAACTGGGGCCATTTGGGAGAAAAGGTTGGTTTAAACTTTTAAAATGGAGCACAAGAGCTTGGGTGATGCCAGCCAAACCTCAGACTAGGAAGCTCCAAGCTCGTTTGCCTGTGAAACATCGAGACAAACCAGACACTGGCTAGACTAACCTTAGAGTAGTTCTGGAAAAGGTTTACAGAAAGCAGGGGGACCCCAAGAACAAAAGCACAAGTGTTGTGGCATTTTCTCTTGCCCTGTGCCACCGCCCCCCAGCACGGTCGTGGGGAGCAGGACGACCTTAGCTGCAACCTGGCTGGGGGCTACCAGAGGCCTGGTCTCCGTTTTGCCTAATCCAGACCTCAGGTGGGAAAAGGAGGCCTAGAGCCTCGAATTTGGGGGCAAGAGAGGACGGTGGATGCACAACAGACCATGTAAGGCCCTGGGGAGAAGCTGGGGGTGAGAGAGACTCTAGGAAATAGAGGCACAGAGCCAGTCTACAAACATTGGCAGAGGTGTCTGTTTTTTCAAAGGCCCACTTTTCAATAAAAAAAAAAATTGCAAGGCATACAAAGAAATGGGAAAACATGGCCTATTCAAAGGGAAAAACTGACAAACCCATCAGGGGAGAAGCCCAGACACTGGGCTTAACTAAAGACTTAAACCACCATCTTAAATATGCTCCAAGAACTAAAGGAGACTACAAAGAACTGAAGGGTATCAGAAAAACGACATGTGATCAAAGAGATAAAAATTACAGAAATTCTAGGAACCCAAAAAATTCTGGAGCTGAAAAATACGACTGAAATGAAAAATCACACAAGGGGTTCAACAGCAGATTTGAGCACATGGAAGAATCCGTGAAAAGAGCCTAAGGGACCTGTGGGGGACACAGGAGCACCCAAAGGAGAAGCAAGAAAGGGGCAGAGAGACTATTTGAGTCAAGAACTTCTCGATTTGATACAAATCCAAGAAACTCCCAGTATGAGGAACTCAATGAGATTCACAGCGAGACACATGTCAGAAACCAAGTCTTGAAAGCAGCTCGTCCTGAATAAGGTTATCAGCCAATTTCTCTGCAGAAACCTTGGCCGCCAGAAAGCAGTATTAGGATGAAAGAAAAAAAAACTGTCAACAGAGGAGTCTTATGTCCAGAAAAAATAACCTCCAAAAATGAAGTAAAGAAAAGCTGAGGGAGTACAACGTACATAGACCTGCCCTACAAGAAACGCTGAAGAGGGCCCTCCAAGTTGAAAGACTGTCAATTCATGGGCCAGTTACAAAGCCAGTATTGTAATTTTGACTTGTAAACACAGAATTTAAAAGATGCATCATAAAAACTGATAAATCTATGTTGGTGGGTGCACAATGTTTAAAGAGGTAATTTGTTAAAAACAAAGTTGGAGAAATTGAAGTTAAGCTGGTATAAATTCAAGTTAGACTTTAATTACTTTAGGATGTTACGTACTTCCCATGTTACATAACCACTGTGAAAACAGCTATATGTAGAATATACATAAAAGGGAATGAAAAGGAAATGAAACATGTCACCTAGAAAGTCAACAAAAACTAACAGGAAATGAGGGACAAAAAGTTACAACACAAACTTTTGCCATTTTATTTGTTTCCTGTAAGTCCTTCCTTATCAATACAGGCATACCTCATTTTATTGCACTTTATTGTACTTTACAGATATTTCTTTCATCAACATCGAAGCAAGACCCTCTACCAACTAAAAAGACTCACTGAAGGCTCAGATGATGGTTATCATTTTTAGCAGTAATATATTTTTTAACTAAGGTATGTACATTGTTTTGTAGACATGATGCTATATTGCACGCTTAATATACTACAGTAAACATAACTTTTGTACACACTGGGAAACCAAAAAATGTGTGACTCACTTTATTGCGATAGTCACTTTATTGCGATATTCACTTTATTGCAGTGGTCTGCAACTAAACCCACAGTATCTCCTTAGGTATAATTACTTTAAATGTGAATGAATTAAACTCCCCATGTAAAAGGCATAGATTGTCCAAATGCAATTTTTTTTTTTTTAAGCTGAGCCATCCTGCCACCTGTTGGCAGCTCAGCGGCTGCTCAGCTCAGGCCGGGAATGGAACCACTGTTGCTCAGAGCTCAAACTCTTGAGCAAGCTCTTAACCAACTGAGCCACTCGGCCAGCCCCCAACTGCATTTTTAAAATCCAACTATATACAGCTTTTAAGAGACTCTTTAAATCTAAAGATACAAGCAGTTTGAAAGTGAAAGGATGGAAAAAGATATGCAACTATTAACCAAAGAGCTAGCTAGCTAGGTGGCTACAGTAATAGACAAAATAGACTTTAAATCAGAAACTATTAAAAGAAACAAAGAAGGACATATATTGATAAAAGGGCCAATCCACCAAGATAATAACAGTTATAAACATATGTGCACCAAATGTCAGAGCTTGAAAATACATGTAGCAAACACTGACAGAATTGAAGGGAGAAACACAGTAATACAATGCTCAGACACATCAATACCCCTCTTCTAAAAAAGTAAAGGACTTGAATGACACTGTGAACCAATGAGACCTAACAGACATAGGCAGAGCACCCCACCCAACAACAGCAGAATACACATTTTTATTCAAGTACACATGAAACATTCTCCAGGATAAACCATATCTTAGGCCACAAAACTAGTTCTTAATAAATTTTAAAATATTGAAATCAATCATGTTTCTTTTCTGATCACAATGAAAACCAGAAATCAGCAGCAGCAGCAAAAGTGGGAGATTCAAATATATGGAAATTAAATAACACAATCTTAAACAACCACTGGGTCAAAGAAGTCACAAGGGAAATTAGAAAATACTTTGAGACAAAAATGAAAACACCAGATACCCAAACTTATGGTTTACAATGTAAGCAATGCTAAGAGGGAAATTTATAGCTGTAAAGACATTGAAAACTAAGATCTCAAATCAATAACCTAACTTTTACACCTTAAGGAACTAGAGAAAGAGCATACTAAACCTAAAGCCGCAGAAGGAAGGAAGTAATCAGTGAAACCAAAAGTTGGTTCTTTGAAAAGATCAACAAAATCAACAAACCTTTAGCTAGATTAACTTAAGAAAACAAGACTCAAATTATTAAAAGGAATGAAAGTAGGGACATTACCAATTTTATAGAAGTAAGGAGTATAAGAATGCTATGAACAACTGTACACCAACAAATAACCTGGATGAATTGGACAAGTTCCTAGAAACAGAACTTACCAATCCTTCTCAAACTCTTCCACAAACAAAAAACAAAAGAGAAACTGAAGGAGAACACTTCCTGACCCAGTTTTCTGAGGCTGTATTCATTACTCTGACATCAAAGCCAGAAAGACCAACATCCCTTATGAACATTAATGCAAAAACCCTCAGCAAAACACTAGCAAACTGAATTCAACAGCACATTAAATGGATTCTATACCATGACCAAGTGGGATTCATCTCAGGGATGCAAGGATGATGGTTCAACATCCATAAATCAACGTGATAAATCACATTAACAAAATAAAGCATAAAAACCGTATGATCATTTCAATAAATGTAAAAACGAAGTATACAAACCGTCTGGAAGGATAGATACCAAACTCCTGTTAACAGAAGTCACTTCTAGAGAAGGAAATAAAGGACTAAGCCCAGGGGCAACTGTTTAACTTGGTATAAGAACGTCCTGCAGTATTATCGCGCGCTCAAAAATAATGTTAAAAGGCTGACAAAGGCATGCATAAAGCCTCCAGGCCCTAACTTCGAGGGCCCCTCATCCGAGTCCGTCCCTCCCTTCCCGGCCTCCCTCCAGCAGGCTCCTGAGCGCTGACCCCTTCCACCCGGGTCGGGAACCCAGGACAGCTCCCCGCTCCCTCCCTGGCCGCCACCACGTCCGCGGCCAGGGTCCCGCACTCACCAGACACGGGTGAAGGCTCCCTCTTGGGCTGAAGGCGACTGGTCTGGGGCAGGAACGGGTTGTTGAGCCTGCGGGAAGCGGCAGGGTCAGGGGGGAACCGGGCCCTGAGCCGCCCCGTCGCGCCCCGCGAGGCTGCTCACCCGAATGTGTTGGGCTCCTCCACCACCTTCATCTTGGACGCCGGCCCTACGGGGAACGCGGCAGTGAGAAGGAAGGCGGGCGGGCCGGCAGCCGGGGCAGGGGCGCGGGGACGGGTGTGTCGGTGGGGGTGGGGGGTCGCAGGGGCCTGGGCAGGGGGCGCAGGAGGCCGGGACACTAACCGCGCGCCGCGAGCCCGAACAGCAGCAAACACGGCACCAGCCTCGCCGCCATCACTTCGCCGGAAGCGGGGCGGGCGCGTGGTCACCTGAGCGCCGCCGAGTCACGTGAGTGTCGGGACCGGAAGTAGCGCCCCGCGCGGGCGGGCGTAGTCTGGCTGCTAGTAGAGGGGCGTGCTCGCGTGTGTGGGGGATCCTGCTCGCAGCTATGGGCCGCAGGAGGGCAGGGCGCGGGGCGGGGGCCGAAGGCGGCCGCTCCCGGCGCCCTGCGGGCTGCTCCCTGGAGACTTTCGCCGAGGAGGTGGGCGCCGCGCTGCGCGGTGAGTGGGGCGTGATCAGGGAGTGGGGTTGGGGTCGGAGGCCCAGGACCGGCGGGCCGGCTGAGCCGCGACTGAAGCCCGGTTCCCTTTGCTGCCTGGTACAGCGTCCGTGGAACCAAAGGCGGCCGAGGACGAGGGCGGCCCAGGTCCTGTTCGGCTGCCTTGCCCTCTGGCCATGTGGGAGCTGGGTCACTGCGACCCCCGGCGCTGCACGGGCCGCAAGCTGGCTCGCTTGGGCCTGGTGCGCTGCCTGCGCCTGGGCCACAGGTTCGGTGGTCTCGTGCTCAGCCCCATGGGCTCCCAGTACGTGTCCCCCGCGGACAGGTAGGCGCGAAAAGCTGGGGGAGGGGGTTGGAATGGGCGGGGTGCCTGCCTGGTCTCTCTTGTCTTAATAACAACGGGGCCCTGGCACAGTATTCCTTTCAGGACTTACCTATTTGTAGCTATCTGGCTAGTTTGCCCCCATTGCCTAAAACACAGCCCAGGCTATAAGCATGTCTCAAGCGTTTGTTGAGTGAATAAATGAGCCTGTTCCAGAAACACCCCTGTTCCCCAGCTGCCTCAAAAGCTTGGCCTATAAGGGTCCTCGGGGGTTATTTGGGGCAGGGAATGTTGTCCCTGTATTCCTAGTGAGGCCACTCTCCAGGGATATACCTGCCCTAGGTCCATCACCACAGTGGTGCTGGCCCCCAGAACCTAGCCCTGTGCTGCTCCTGGCAGACAGCTGGTTGCACAGTCGGGGGTGGCTGTCATCGACTGTTCCTGGGCCAGACTGCACGAGACACCATTTGGGAAGATGCGAGGAAGCCACTTTCGACTGCTGCCTCACCTGGTGGCCGCCAACCCTGTGAACTATGGCCGGCCTTGCAAACTATCCTGTGTAGAGGCTTTTGCAGCCACCTTCTGCATCCTGGGTGAGTGTCAGGGCCTGGCAGCCCGGAGGTCTGGCTGTTCTCCCAGCACTGTTTTCTAATGGCAAGTGCCAGGAGGAACGTAAGGGTGTGCAAGGAGGTGGTCAATTTGGACAGGCCAGAGTTTCCATACCAGCTCCCACTTAAAGTTCTTGCCCTGTGGGGTTGAGGTGGTGGCAAACTGAACAGCTGGCCTGCAAGCGCTCATGTTTGGCCTTGTTATCCCGGCACCACTGCCCTGAGAGCCCTCCGTCACTCATTCTCAGAGAATTCATGGTCCCCGTAGAGGCCCAGTGAGCTGTGGGCAGAGGGACTTAGTGGGCTACACAGGTAGGGGCTGGTGAGCAGGCACGGACTATCCAGACTATGGGATGGTGTCTGGCAGGGGCTTCTAGTACCTTGGACAGCATTAAGTGGGCTGGGAACATGCTCGGGATTGGAGAAGGATTGTCGGCATTCTTGGGTTTCCTGTTTCTGTGGCGTCAGGCTTCTCAGACCTTGCTGTCATTTTGCTGCGGAAGTTCAAGTGGGGCAAGGCCTTCCTAGACCTGAACCGTGAGCTCCTGGACAAGTATGCGGCCTGCAGCGGCCCAGAGGAGGTGCTGCAGGCAGAGCAGGTGTTCCTGGCCCATGCTAAGGAGCGCCCCAAGGAGGAGCTTGGTGAGGCCTGGCGTGGACGTGAGCCCTGGGAGGGAGCCAGGACCCTGCAGGCCTGCCGCCTCCTTCCGAGAGGCTCTCGAGGTGGTGAGCGGGAGTTTGCTCTCAGCTCACCTCTGCATCACTGTCCTCTTTGCTCCCTCTGTTCAGATCCCTTTGACGTGGACTCGGGGCGAGAGTTTGCAAACCCCAATAGGCCTGTGGCTGGTACCCGGTAGGTCCTCGGGCTTCCCACTTACATGACAGTTCGGACTCAAGGCTATCTTCTGCCTCTGGCCTCAGCCTCTCCTGCTTTGTGGGGGGTGGTCTCCTGAACACCACCACTGTGGTTTTCTAACTGTGGGAAAGTGGACATGGCCTCCCACTGAGAGGTTTTGGTTTTAAGAGCAGAGGGCGTGGGAGGAATTTGTCCTCAGTCCGGGGGCTTTTGTGGGTCAGTGTGCCAGGGAGGATTGCCTCAAGACAGGCCACGGATGGCACCTTTAGCGAACACACCCCTTCTTCCAGGCTGCCCATGGACAGTGATGACAGTGACAGTGATGAGGAGTCTGAGGCATGCAGGCCTGAAGCCAAGGATGGAGGAGATAGCAGCAGCAGCTCAGAAGAGGAGGAGATGCTGGAGCAAGGGGCCAAGGCCAGGGCCCCCACTGAGGTTTGGAAAGGAATCAAGAAACGGCAGAGAGACTAAAGGTTACAGACATGTATTGTTCGAGGTGGAGTGATGAGAAAATCTAGAGACAGCAGTGGGACTTGTGGGAACAAAGACAGGCATGGTGGCCTTGACCCCTTGGAGCTGCAAGCAGTACTGGACGCGGTCAGGTTCTCTGCCAAAGCTTCTACCACAGCCTTGCCCTGGGTCCTGCCTCAGAGCCCCCAATGAATGAAGCTGCAGGCAGGGAGAACCCAATGTGAGCCTCTGTTTCTTTATACTTAGCCTGGGGGTTTGGGGGTACCCACAGCCGCTGTGAGGCAGACTCTGCCTAGAAGGGGCTGGGCCCATCGCATTGGCGTAGATCTTGTGTGGGCACATGCATGTACATGGAAGAAAAAGCCAGATGGGACCAATCAGCACGGAGCCCTTTACACTGATCCCCAGCCTCAGAGAGTGACCTAGGGGACCCTCTCCTGGGCCTAGGAGCTAGGTGTGGACTGCAGATCTTATGTGGCTCTTAGCAAACCTCTTCTCCACATGGTCCTTTGTGAGTGGAGGGTCTTAGAGCCCAGAGAGGGCGAGAACACTGTGGCCACTCATTTCAGCCCCCTTCAAACCCCAGTTGTTAACCACCAAAAGTGTCTTCAGACACGTCCTAATGTCCCCTGGGGGGCACAGCACCCACTAAGAAACGCTCTAAGGGCAGCGCCTGCCCACCTGCCCTCCCTGGGAAGCAGGCGGGGAAGCTTACCTGGTGGCTAGGTTTGTTCCACTCTACTCTGTGTCCAGGGGGGCAGCTGCTGGTAGGCTCCAAGTTGACTGGGGTTGGGAATGCTTGCTGGGCATAAGGAGTTCACAGTACATACCACATGGGCACACCCAGGCAGATGGGAGCCAGGGGTGTTCAGCCACAGCACGCATGCCACGCAGCAGGGGAGGGGGCATCATGACCCCTGGCTGCACAAAGCTGACCACAGGGTGAGACAAGGATACCATGGGGACTGGGGAAGGGCCTGGGGCTGGCAGCTGCAGAGGGCTCAGGGGTCCGCCTCCATGCACTTCTCCAGCTCCCTGAGTCTCTTGACGAACTCCTGCGCCTCCCTGTTGGTGCGGCCCTCCAGCATCCTCAGCGCGGACCTCACTATGGGTGGAGGGTGGGGCAGCATCAGGCCCTGCCAGCCCTCAGACCTACTGCCCCTGGACCCCTACTCACCCTGGGCTCGGGGCCTGCGCAGGTGCAGGGTGATGGGCTGCCCAGCCCTCGTGCTCCCTCCCACCTGGGACCGCACAATGCCACCAATGCTGCCCAGGCCGAGGGCCGCCTCCCCTGCGAAGTCGTTTGTGGACAGCCAGTCGTGATCCATGACTGTGAAGAGCACGCAGGCGCCACGGCGACGGCACGCCTCTGCAGGCACGGAGCTGCAAGGGCCGGATGGTCACCTAGAGTCCTCCGTGCTCTGGCGGGTGTTGGGCAGTTGGGGGCAACACTCACAAGTAGAAGAGCTCGTCGTACACGGGGTGCAGTGTCCGGCTCTTGACCTGAGTCCTCTGGCTTCGGACCAGCGGGAAGAGATGTGGTGGGCCCAGCTCCACAATCACAAAGGGATCACTCAGGCCTGGGGGCACAGGGCTGTAAGCAGACTACCGCCCTCGCGCCACTGGCATGCCTCCCGCCCCGCCATAACTCTGCCCCTCACCATTGGCATCCAGGGGGAGCAGGTCGGCAGCGTGCAGCACCTCTACCGCCAGCCGCTGCTCGGCCACCTCGTAGTGGCAGCGGACACTCAGGCGTCCAAACCGGTTCTGCTCCAGGGACCTCTGCAGAAAGGCCCATGGGCTGCTGAGCCCGGCTCAGGGGCTCCAGGGAGGAGCCGCACGCCCACACCTGTGCCACATACCTGCTTGAGTTTGTCCAGGTAATACTGCTCGATGCATTCACGGGTGGAACACTTGTGCAGGCGCAGCTCCTCCTCCAGCCTCTGGGGAGAAGCAGGAAGGAAGCGGGCGCCTGGTGAAACTGGCCAGTGACCCCGCAGGCACGGGCTAGTGTAAGGCAGCAGCTGAACTCAGGTCCCCAGCATCCATGCCTCTCCCCTCCTGTCAGAGGCCCAAGGGCCAGGCCTCACCTTGTAGCTTCCATCCTTCAAGTTCTCCAGGGGCAGACCCTGGCCCTCCGCGTGGAAAAAAGTGACCAGAGCCTAGGGCAGGGCAAGGAGGATGTGTCAGGTGGCGAATGCTAGGGACAGTGGGCAGAGACAGGTGGCACCTTGAGCAGCACCAGGCCCTTGAGAGCCCGAGGTAGAGCTGCTTGTCACACCAGAGACACATCAAAAGCTCCCAGGAAGCTTGGGATAATGCCCGTGCCTGAGGCCAGACAGCTCTCTTAACAAGTAGCCCAGGTACCACCAACACAGGTGGGTTGGTGAAGAGAAAATGCTGCTGCCCTGGTGGGTTTCCAGAAAAAGAGCTGTCCAGGCTGAGCAGGCCAGGCATGCCAGCAGGAGGCAGCAGGGCCACAGAGAAGGGTAGCGGCTTTGCCCCCTGGAGCCACTGGGGGTTCTCTTCCAC